AAATGAGAGAAACAAACTGATGAAAACTGAACTGAAACCTCCAAAAAATATTTACTGTAAAAATATCCAGCCCTTTTCTAAACTGTGTTCACTTGTAAAAACCAATGAAGAAAAGCATGTGAAAAAATAGGCTTAAATCAAACAACTACAACCATTCCAAAACTCACCAAACTATACTGCAGTACTGTCTTGTACTAAAACTCTGTTTAAAAGAAAATCTCAAGTAGTTTTGCAGCTAAACTGAGAGCAAACTACAAATGAAAGCAAAAACAAAAAGTTCATTAAAATGAAACAAAAAAACCCCACAATTTAATTAAATCAAGTTAAAAATCCACCATATTTTCTAGTTTTAAATTAAATCTCTGGCAGAGGAAATAAACACAGGAGTAAATGTGAGTTAAAAAAACAATTGGCATGTGGTTTTGGTTGAAATACTGCATCTGTAACTATCTCCAGTAACAGTCAGATCTAATAAAAAGCTTCCTGTGCAATCATTAATCAGCACTGCAGAGATTAACAGTAAAATTGCTGTAGTACAGCATATAAACTTCAGTCATACATAATTAGCTGTGGAAATCCAATTTAACTATTGCTTGAGCTAAAGGAAAAGAAAAAAAAAACTTTTAATGAAATAGAATCTGTAATGAATTCAGCCAGCATCACAGGATGCATTCTAATCGGCTGAATATGATTATGTTAAGCTTTTGTCTGCGGTACACAAAGCAGTCGGTTTAAGGCATCCGTTTAAACCTAATAAGGGAGGCCACACACACGGTTTTGCTTCACTTTATCCTCTCCAGCTCTTAATCACGCAGGTGAATGTGCTACCGCTTCCTTCCCACCTGTTTGAACAACGATCTGCGGCTGTGGCTGGCTCCCGTACAAAGCCCGCTCCTTTGTCGGGGTGATATCACAGATAGCGGATGACTTATGGCTTGTACTTAGAGAGATAAAGAAAACAAACACTATAGTCTTTACTCCTAGCTAGTGTTAACAATTATGCCTGAAGGAGAAAGGTAATAAACAGCTTGTGACCCTGACAGCATACAAAACAAAAGAAAAATGAAGTGAGTAAATTTAGCACCAAACATCCTCAGGACTACAAGTGCAGATTTATAGCTGCAGCGCCGCTGCTGCTGCTTAAAATATGATTTCAAATCAGAGCGTGTGACAGGATCCATGTTGCTAAAGACAGACATGAGCGGGCAAAATAATCGGCCCGGTGGCGTCGTGTTTTACTTTTTCGCTGCCTTGTTTCCAGTCTTCACACTGAGCCGAGTTTAAGGCTGGAACACATCACGTCACACATTAATCTAAAACTGAAACTATCTTCATTATACAAACCTTTGTTTAAAGGACCTGTGATGTATGGCATCTAGTGCGGTGTGTAGAATGTTCTTACTACACTTTCCTATTGCAACCCAACCTGGGATTGGAGACCATGTGGAGTTGAACCCAAAACCACAACCCAATCACCTCTATACTCTCTCTTCCCTAATGTACATCTACAGTTGGAAATGCCAAACCAAATGCAATCAAAGAGTAATTCACTTGTCTGGTCCCGGTCTTACACTTAAATGCAAACAAGGCCCACAGTGGACCATTAATGCACCGCCTCACCCAGTGAATAAGGATGAATAAATGGAGAGGGATCTGTGTGTATGTGTGTGTGTTTGTGTGTGTTTGCCACATTAAAGGCTATGCTAAATAGCAAAAGTGCGAAACCCAGCATTTTTAGCCACCTGCTGCAGGCTGTGATGGAGGATGTGTTTTGAGATGAAGAACAAGATGAAGCAAATGTCCACCAGTCTACAATATATCTGTTGTTTTAGGAGCGTGGCAATGTTGTGTCCTCGGAGCACAGACAGAGACATAACATAGACCTCTATACAAATCAGATGAGTATCAGATTTCATATAGTCTATGAGCTAGTGTCACCGAGACACTCTTTTTTCCAAGGAAAGAAGATTGTGACCTGTGTGTGCGTGATATACAGCACAGCCATTTTATAGGCACTCATCACCTGTCAATTGTACCCTTAAAATGTCGCCATTAGTTAAACACCAAATCCAGAGTCCTGATCCCTGAGCAGGAAGTGCACTCCTACCTCCTGATGTTAGATAAATGTATGTTTCGACACTTCTGTTCTTGGGCTCCATATTTTCCAGGTAACAAGATTCTCATAATTATTCATGCAGTCTGTTTACCTCTCTGTTGCTGTTGTTGTGTACTCAGAGACTATAAATTTAGCCGAGCATTTTAGATGAATTCCCACGTGACTCTTGCGTCGCATTACCGCATGGAACATTTTCTTTGTCCTTCTCCATTAAAGCGTAGCGAAGAGTTGCAAGCTGTCTTTGTTTCAAAATAGGCTTCCTCGAACCGAAGAAGAAATCAATATTAGCAGGTCCTGTCGGAAGGTTGTGCAATATGTTATTAGTTCGACTTGCGTTTCTGAATAAACAAATAAATATAATCGCGCCTCGCTCACAACAGACGCTTATATTTTTTTCTTCAAGCGAAGAAAAAGATCCTTGCCAACCAAGGTCATGAGTCTGTTCCCTGCAGAAACCAACATAAGACCAAGGGAACATAACGGGTGACTGAGAAGTAATAAGTGATTAATGAATCCATGTGTAATAATGTTTCAGATGGAGATATCACACCAGCGCAGTGTGTCATTCTTCACACCTGAATAGGTCTGACGCAGGATTCAGAGGAGAAAAAAGAGAAATTAATTCCTGCATCTGGGCTGATTTTCTCGAGTTAAGGTGTCAGAGTGATCAAGTTTCTAAATGCATCAACCTTGAGGCGATAAAAAATGTATGTGAAATCAAATTGATTTTTACCTTCACATACTTGTTACATCATATTCACAACTGTAGAAAGGCTTGAGCCTAGGTTAAAGACACTCGCCGTGCTACTGTTTTTAAATCATTTGTTTATTTTCCAGCAGTGCTCTAACATTGAGCTCAGTCTAATAATAATGAACGATATCCCACAGATTTAATTAGACCTGGAGGCAGAAGTTGGACCACCTCAAATGTCCACTGTGGATTTTTGAGTCATTCGCAATTTTTCATATTTCAGACAATTAAGTGCAGCCTAAGCTTTAAATCCTCGCCTAGGCTGTGCGTGTGTGTGTGTGTGTGTGTGTTAGGTAAAGCTATACTTGTTGGGACACTTTTTTTAGGGATACTTAATGTTATTGTGGGGACTATTTGCAGTTTCTCACTTACTGAAAAGGGTATTTTGAGGTTAAAGATCTAGTCTGGAGTTGGGATCAGATCAATGTCAGACTTGCTTTTATTTGTAGTGGTTGAGGTTGAGTGTCAGGGGCAGGAAATTGTAGAGAATCAATGAAAACAGTGTGTGTTTTTCGACAGTAAACGTGTTACTTTATTTAAATATTCACTCCTGTTAACTTTTCTATTAATGCTTAAAGTCTCAGTGTTAAAAGAGAACAAAGACTCAGACGTGTCGGAGGTAAAAGAGGAGACCTGGAGTAGGAGGAAGAGGAACGGAGGCGGCTCCTCCTGTGGCCTCACAGCATTATCTGTTTTGGCCCTTGTGTCTCGTCTTCAATTCGTGGCGCATCATTCTGATTAAACAGCTCTTGGTTGTGACATATGTGTTGATTTTCCAACACCCTGCAAGGGTTGGCACTGCGACACTTTTAATTGTATTCGTAGACCAAAATAGCTGCGCGTGAACCGGGGTACAAGCTTGAATGTGCTTCGACAAACAAGTTTGTTTTTCGAGTTGCCTGAATGTAGCCGAAGTCAAAGCACTCAAGTAACTTTGTTGAAAAACAATGTTGATTTACTTGTCAGTAGAAAGGAACATTGCCCTGCAACAAAACAAAACAACAGTGGCGTCTACACCAGTACTATATTTTCTTCTAAACGTCAATGCCTGAAATAGAAAAACAAAAAAACAAACAAACGCAATAATGCTGCACAAAACACGGTGTACTCGCTTAGACCTTTCAGAAATTAAGGAATGCATTTTATTTCTAATTCATGTTATTGGTTAATGTCTTCCTAACCCTCTGACAAACATTTCAAATCTATTTTTTCAGTGAAACGTAGTTCAGCCTCAGGCGTTTGCCGTCAGAGTCTGTAGCCCCTGCACTTGTGCCTTGTGTGTCCTCATCACTGTGGAATGACCAGAATTCCCAATGTTTCTGGTTCAACCTGTTTAGAGAAAAGCTCAAAGAGGAAGATTTGAAGCGTGAAGACCTCAGTGTCCCTTCACTCTGCTCTGACCTCCCATCCGTCCGTCTTTTCTCAACCCCTTTTCTACTGCCTCTCCCAAGTTTCACATGACTGGCCTGTGCCGTCATAGCAACAACTCCACCACACTGCTCTCCCACGTGCACAGAGGCAGTGGTTCTGTGGTGGCGGTAAAGACCAACAAGCTTGACCTGCCAAGCCCACCCTCTCGCACCTCCGCCTTCAAACTTAACGGGAAGCCTATTTGAAATGTGGAGCTGCAGAATTTGGAGTGACAGCGTAGCGTGGTGCAGTTTTATTCATCGTGTTCACACCCATTCATTTAAGACAGTTATATTCTAGAGGTGCTGAACTGTGTGACCGCAGTCTCCTCCAGAATACTTGAGAACTCAGGGATCACATTTTTAGCTTTCCTCTGGTGTTCCTTCTGCCTCCTTTTGCCACTGATCGAAGCTCCAGAGCCGGTCTACTGGGGCTGTTCATTAGATAAAAGTGCAAATCCCACGAGTACTTTAATACAGTTTTGTGTCAGTGTTGACTATGGGGGCATACCCCAGCTCTCTGCGGGGAATATTTGAGATTAGGTGTTAGCTCAGCAAGAGCCTGAATTCACCAGTGAAATACCTTACAGGCAACACTGTAAAGACTGTTTCATTTACCTGGTACTACAAACAGTCAAGCAGGTTTTGTTTGTTTTTTTTTTCCAGGAATCGTGCACAGTATTCCATACCATCTTTAACGAGCTGTCCCTCTTTTGTTTCGCAGTGCATGCCACAGGCAGAGTGACGGCTCTGTACGGAGATATCATCGTTATACCGTGCAATGACGGAGCTTCAGTACCAGAAGATTTGATGTTTATCAAGTGGAAATATGTGAGTATATACTGAATCTTACACGTCTACAGTACATTAAGGTGGGTGGGTGGTGCTCTGCACGCAGGGTTAGTGCAGAAAATGATTAAATTAAAGTGTGTTTTAATTATAGTAAATGTTGAGGTTGCATTCTTTTTATTAACTTGTTAAATTATCCGCTGATAGTCAGTTAATTCCATTTCTTTCAATAATTTATCATGCTGATGTCATACGCTTGCAGTAAAGCAGAGTGTTATGACAAAATTATATTCTGTGTTATTATTCACCGTTTCTACTCATTATTGTTTCTCCGGTTCCTATAAGACCTTGACAATTGTATCCCCATTACTCCGTTTCTGAGTTCCCGAGGCCACATACTCTCACAGGTGGCGATGGTACTGAGACCAACTTGCACTCATATTCTTGTACGCACACACAAATGTATCCAGCACACTATAAATGTAACATGCGCTAGCTGGCAAACGGGCGCTCTCAGACAGACAGGTGCTTGTGTTGCTCTCTGTAAGACCTGCGCCCCGGAGCTTCATCAAAGCTTCGACAACATCTTTCAATAAATTCTCCAAATAAACTCCTTCAAAGGAACAACATTGTTCATTTTCTGTTTTATTCTTTATTCCAAGGAGACTATTGACAGAATTACCAAACCAAGAGCCATTAGCCTGTAAGCTAAAAACAACTATCTTGAGCTAAGACATGATGTCTTTAGTAGTTTGGTTGTTTTTAACTAATGTTGGAAAATTCACAATTTTAGTTAGAAATACATGGTCAGCCAAATTTTTGAGAGGAAGTAATTAGTCTGCAAGACTCAACAAAACACAGTTTTAGGCATTCAAAATTGACCTATAACAAATGTAGAATGTAAATGTAAAACACAAATTCTACACACCTGGATGTTTTTATTCAAGAAGAAGTTTGCCAAAGTTGTAAAAGTTGAGCAACAAACTCTGGGTTTATGTCCTGTTTGACATTTTGTCCCTGTGCAGTTTTAAGAAAGAAATAAATTAAATATTGGACAGAGACAGAATTGCTAGATTGGTCGAACCAATATCTTTGTATCTGCAATCCTTGGCTCGACTTAAACAAAAAGTCATTTGAAGGTGATTATTTCTGAAATAAGAACTATATCAGTTGTCATTTCTCTACAGGTTTGGCCATCAGAGGTGTTCTATATTGTGGATTCCTCATAATGTTTATGTCACCTTAAAAGAAAGTTCTCAGTTTAAGCACAAAGACAGCTTGGGTCAAAATGTGCAGCTGTAGCAGATTGGACGGCAACTAACGGTGCATCGAAAATTCCGGTGGTCGGTTTGGGATGAATGGAAGTAAAAACATAGCTCAGCATTTATCTGTGAGGAGTTTAAGGTTAATGCATGCACTTTTTCCTCAGACAGTATACACGCAGGAGGAGGACGAGTGAAGAGGAGAGAATATAAAAATAGTCATCTATTTTTAGTGTTTTGGGCAGCACTTTGTTGCAGCAGTAAACATAATATATTAAATAGCAAAAACCGCCTTAGTGGGTTTTGAGTTTTACATTTATTTTTCAGATTTTATATAGTTCTAGATCCCCCTCTACTGTAAGTCTGAACTCCTTAGTGCAGTTTTCCTGTGAGATTTCATCTGATTATTATTTTTTATCTTGACATTATTCACTTATTAATAGGTTTAAATAATGAAGTATGAAACTAAATTATGGAATTGTTATGCATGTCGCAAGAAAGTGGGATGGAAATTGTAAAAAAAAGGAAATATTACAAAGAAATGAAGCAGAAGCAGGCACTGACAGCAGCACATGTTGGTGCAGTGAGCACTGTTGCCTTCATAGCAGAAGCTCAGATGTTTATACAGCACGCGCTCCTTGTGTGGTTGTGTTTTTATAGAGAGTCCTACATTATTACAAAGACTGAAGAGTAAAGACTGTGGTTCAGTAGTGACCTAAAGTGACCATAGGCATGACTGTGAGTGTGGATGGTTGTTCATCTTTATATGTGGCCCCCGGTCCCACCTTAACAGAATAGAGTAGCCGAAGATCAATGGGTGAATAACACGGGGCTTTGGTGGAAAACACCACCTTCGAGCCACAGTATCAAGGCCATCTTTGATTAACAGAACCAAAATACAATTCAACACATTTGCCCATTTTTCTCTCCAGGTAAATTAAAGTTTTTAATCTTTGTCCTTACCGTGCAGCAGCAGGGACGGACTGGGAGCATTAGAGTGATGCACAATTGGACCGTCTCCCCTCCTAATGCTCTTCTCCTCATTTACGGATGTGCAGTTTGTGAAAGGATAGCATCTTCACACAGCACTTTCTTTAGAGTTTGTAGGTTTCAGCCAGCAATGATTAAAGAGCTAGAGTGAGAAAAAAAAGACTTAATCATGTGTAATGATAGTGATAATAGTAATAGTAAACTGTATGTGTGGGAGATTTTGACCAAGATATTAATTTTTGCTTTTCTAAAAGTTATTTTTTAATGTTTTTCAGCCTTTTTACACCCAATGCTAGTACTAGTAATACATTAAAATAAAAAAAAGGAAAGTTGAAAAGACAGTATTCTTTGAGATTAACTCCTGAGCTCTCATTGTTAGTCCACTTGTGTTCAAAGGTGTCAAGGTGCAGTTTGAAGCTGTTCTTCTTCAGAATTCAGAGGACACTGTTTTTGATCAAAAATGTAGAAATGATATGCAGACTCCCAGGTGCCGCGGTGCATCTTAAATTATTTAGTTATTTCTACCCCCTGTATTTTTCCCTGACACTGATTGTAATTCCGTGGTATAAGCAGAATACACTGTATGTCACTGTGCTGATGCACCTGCAGCACTTTACTGCCATAACCAGCCAAGTGTGTAAACATGACCCTGCCCTGGGAGAGAGGGAGTCAGAACAAACTATGAGAGAATCATTTCCTGTCCAGCGCTGAAGCATTACATGGACATGACCATGTAACCCAACAGCACAGCATGCACCAATTTGTCTAAGGGTGGCCAGGGCAGTCTCATCTTCTATGGCTGTAGGGGACTACGCTGGGAGGCGTCAGAAACTATAGATGGGTTCTTTTAATGAAAATAAAATTATTTAAAATAACAAAAAAACATTAAAAAATCTGAGACCAATAAAAATGTTGTTCTTTGGTGCTGAGTAAAGCTCAGTGTCTTGTTTGAAATGTCAAATCATCTCAACATGAACTCAGCTTTATGAACAGAGCTCAGTAGAAGATCAACATTTCTTTTTCATATTTCTGCAAAAGCCACAGTATTTAGATTGCTGTGTGTAAAAAAACAACCAAAACAAATAAAAATGGAAAAGAAACACAGTAACCTATTGTGGATTCACTGTGAGATTAGATTTAGTGCTAGGACTGGAAAGAGAATATGTAGGAAGGCACAAGATCGATTAAACAGCATTGTCACCTTGATATTATATCTGTGTGTTCATTATTTAATTAGCTCGCTTACCTTCTGCTGATTAATCAGTCGTCATGTGAGCGCGCTGTTCACTCTGAATAGTTTGTTATCCCAGGGTTTCCACAATGCATATTAAGCAGCAGTGGCCCATCGCTACTTAATAGTCTGTTACAATTACATCACCCTGAATAATGAACGGCAGTGAACGATTTATCAATTCTTATTCAAATATCAAATAACGTCTGAGGGAGTACGGTCCACAGTACTGACACAGGATGAGGTTTTTTCATTTCCACCTCTCCTCAGTCCCTCCTGCAGTCACACCTGCCCCAATCAGTGCAACTGCTCCCACCTGTGTCCTGTTCTTCTCTTAATTAGTCTCACCTGGTGCCGTGGGCACGTGCGCCTCACTCTGTCTTTGTTAGGTCAGTGTTCCTGATTGGTCTGAGTTAGTGTGTGCTCCTGGTGGTTCCTGCTTCTTGATTGGCCCTGGTTTCCTCTGAACTGGATGACTTTAAATTACTGACTGTTAATAAACCTCATGTTGCTGCTCCAGTGCTACATTTGGGTCCTGTCTGCTCCCTGACCTCCACTGCTTTTGACAAATGTAGAATAAGTGGGAGGTTTAATTGCGGACTTATGCCCGGACAAAGTGGAAATGTTTCTAAATCAAATACCAGGAGGACTAATGAAAATAAAATATATTTAATTTTAAATAACTTTATTCTTCCTGCTGTCAAATGAATCACGGCCCAGTACAGGTCCAGTGCCCTTGGGTTGGGCAGCCAGTACAGGTCCAGTGCCCTTGGGTTGGGTTGGGTTGCTTTATAGAACAGAGTAGACTGAGGAGTTGTGCTCAGTAAAGCTGTCATGTGTAGTTATTGTTATTGTTACATGAGTTTGTTGTTATTTTCGACTGAGATCTTGAGCATGGATGTCTCCGTTCAGTCGGTAGCATGATCAGGAAACATAAATCCAGTAATGCATGTTGTTGCATGTTTGAAAACGGTGCCTTCCTTCTCTGACAACAGAAGTGAATTTGTCTCTGGGCAGTGAGGGTGTAATTAACATCTGTTTAACAAAAGAAGCGCTTTGGTGGTTTGGTGATTGACACATTAAAGGCTGCATCACTCTGGTCCCATAATTACACTGTTTCATACCTTTACAGAAATACCAAGCATTTGTGTTATTTCTGCAGGAGAAAGATGACGGCACTCCTGGGGATCTGTTGATCAAACAGGTCCGCGTTGACCAGCCCACAATTCAGGCCACTGACGATTACGCCGGACGGATCAGCACCGACGAGAAGTCCAACCTGCTCATCTCCCTGGCCTCTCTGGAAGACCAGAGGACCTTCACCTGTATGGTGGTGTCTGACACCAATCTGCAGGAGTTTCCTGTGACTGTGGTGGTTTACAGTAAGCTCATACTGTACTGTATAAAACCAGTGCAACAAACAACCAGGTTCCCAACATCTGTTAGTCTTTCCTCCTTTAACTGCCTTATTGTGTCTGACAGATGGTGAAGACAGTAGCCTCAAGGAGTGCAGCGTTCAATTATACTCTTTAGATCAGTGTCCAAGTAAATGCGTTACCGTCACTCCTGATGCTAACTGACCTATGGACACAACTTTTTTATATATAATACTACTGCAACAACCAGACTCCAACTTCAGGTGTGACATCCAGTTTGTGTCAGAGGCGCAGCTGAGAAGATGACTGACACAATAAACAAATGAGTTGTGAGGAACTGCACACCGATTAATTAATGTTGTTGAAGACAGTTTTCAAAAGCAGTTCTTGACGTGACACTATCTTAGCACGACTGGCCTGTGATTAATCAGATTAAACATGTCAGTGCTTCGACAGCCCTTTACAATCATTTTAACAGATAAAAACTAGTGAACAACCCCAGTTGACAGTATAATTACAGCTCGCTAAGCTGCACCCTGCCACGGAAAACAAAGTCCTCAATCAGTATTAGTTGGTTTAATAAAGCACCAATTTGGTAGTTTGAAATTATTTTTTTTGGCTTTTATGATTTGACTGTGGCTCAGTTTTGCCTCATGTTTGTTTCTTTGCGTCCAGTGTGAAAGTCCAGTGACAATAATGTCTAATAACTTTACAGTTATGTTTAAATTTCTCAAGGTTAATTTGGTTATTGACCGGTTTGCCTGATCATTTCAGAGTCGTTGCCACTTACATTCAGCCTCCGACATTGATTTGTCTAAGATTTACCTGTGAAGAGCAATATTTTGGCCAAAAAAACTTCGGGGAGAAAAGACTAATCATTTTTTACCGCCGCCTCCAGGACTTATCCTGTCCCTGAAAGCCACCTTGAACAAATCATATTTTGTTCCTCCAGCAAAACTCAGTGACCTTTTACTGTAGTATTAAGGTCTTTACTCACCGGGGGATTTTTTTTCTTTTTTCTTCCTGTGATTAATTACCACATCAATATTTTTCCCAACAGTTTTTGTCACTTCCTTTGTTGTAAAAGGAGCGAGCTTCTGATCTCCTCCTTCTCTTTTTCCTTCACAACTGATTAATAACATCAAGCAGTCGCTGGATCCCGTAGTAGTTTTCAGTGCTTTACCTCAAACAGATGACATGTGGCAGGTGTTGTTCCGGTTTAGTATTATTTTGGTGTTGTGGAACTCTCAGCAGGACCTAATGTCTCCCCTCAATATTTTTAAAAAATAAAGATTTGTGAAGTTATATTCAGAAGAGAATAGAATATAATTCAAATGATGGAAATTAAAAAAAACCTTCATTCCTGTCGTTGTTGTTTACCTTTACTGTTTCTGACTGTGTCCCCGGCTGCACCTTCATTCTACACTGGACTTGTGTAAAAGTTTTTGTGTTCTCTCTCTTATTTCCCCCTGCCCCAATTCAATTATGAACATGTCAGACTGGCTACGGTCCAAATTAACTGAAAGGCAAAAGAATGTTTAATGTTTGATATCAGGAGGAGCAGAGAGTTAGCCACTAGACAAAGGCAAATAAACAAATGTTTTCCCTTCTTTTTCTCATATCTAAGTTTTTCATAATATTAATCTGCTGCTTTGGTGTCAACCCTGTACTGCACTCAGTATATAGTAGTGTCCCCTAAACATAAATTATCTGTAGTGAACAGAGCACAACTCATTTTGTGAAACTATTATGGAGTCATTTAGTCCATTTGGTAAACAGAAAATCATTAGCGCTGACAAATTAAGCAAATACAATTACATTTTTCAAGCTGATTTAAAGACGTAGTCCTGAGACGTGGAGCCGCTTCCACTACACAACACTTTTCTCCTTAACACAAATACTCTGTGTTATCCATTGTATTCCGGTTCCATTATGTGCTTTAGGAGCTATGATTCTGGATCAGAATTCCACTCCCGGTAACATGTATCACTTGCTAATGGGCTTTGCAAAGCCATGCGTGAAATGGGGAGAATAGCTCAATAGGCCTTAGAGAGAGTATTAGCTTGTAGTTAACAGGGAGCCGGTAGAATTTATGTCCTCCAGTGTGAATATTAACGGCCAAACAACTTCGCAGCCGAGCATCGGGTCCAAGTCGGCCACGGCAGCTATTTGTGTCTTTCACTCTGTCCCCGAGCTCTGCAGATACATTTGACATATTTTGATAGTTTTAGTTCATATTCCTAAACCTGGTTCTCTTTCCTTCTGTGTTTGCAGAGAAGCCATCATCAGTACAGATTCTTGACAAGGCTGAAGCGTTGCAGAAAGACAAGCCGACCATGGTGAGATCCAGTGCAGTCTTTGTATTTCATTGTGTTTTACAGTGTGCCAAAGCAGACGAAGGCATTTTTTCTCTAAACAGAGGGAAGGCCTTCAGCGCTGTGCTCTGAATGCAAATATTTATGCTGTCTGGGAGCTGCTGTTTGTCTAATAAATTGATCTTGTAAAAATTCTATTGCAGCTACCACACAGGCAATTAACATGACGTATGATTTACATAGACTAAGCAGTCTGGGACATTTGGGGACAACAAGAACAGAGACAATCGATCCAATAATTCATAGAAAAAGTTTTATGCTAAAACGCTTGTCACGTTAGGACAGAAAAATGTGGCCCAGCCGTGCTCATCATGGTGGGTTTCACAGGCACGGTAACACACGCGCCCAGTGTCTGCGTTTCATCAGCGCTTCTGCAGTTAATTTTCCAGTGGGGCCTTGTGATTATGATTCAGTTGCAGTAAAGGATGGCTGTGGTGATAAATGACTGAGCTCAGTATGAAAATGTATCTTATAGTCGCCATAAAAATGCTTTCAACGGAGGGAATCTACATGAAAAAAGCCACGATATATTTCACTCTGTGACGGCGGGTGTTTGCCTCAAATCTAATCATACTTACATTCATCGTTAAACACCTGACTCCTGCGAGGATATCTCTCCATTTAAATTTCATGACACACGCACACACAACACACACGCTCAAGAATGAGTATCTGTTGGGGAAAAAAAAAAACTTTGAAAAGCTGCGGGCAGCACATTCACACTGGTCATTTTTCTCCTCTCCAGCAAGCGATGCACATTTCTTCCACCACATGCAGCATACACACATTTATAATGGATCAAATGAAGACTGCTGCCTCTATTGGTATTCCTACCAGAAAAAAAATCTGGTGCTATTGAACAGCTTTGGGCATTTTGTAGTCTGAGGAGGCTGACAGGCAGAGATGTTGGGAATAAGACTGAGAAAGAGAAAAAAGTCGGTGTTGGAAGACGAGGATTTTAGTTGGCACAAAAAGGGGGGGTGGTGGAGGTGCATATGTTTGATACTCTGAGGGAATTTGAAATTGTGATGTTGAGTGGTGCAGAATGCGGAGAGGTAGAACAAAGGCCGCCCTTTTATTTGCCTGCACACTTGAACGCTTGTCCAGTTCTTAATGGGAAAACGAAGTGGGCTGAAGTCAAGCATTAATGTCAGGTGGTGGGGAAATTAACACTCAAAAAAAAAAAAAAAAATCACAGACTCAACAGAATTCTGTTCTTAAAGTTCAGACTGTTGCTGCTCTTTAAGGAAAGACTCCAAGTCAGGTGAAGCGGACCTGGCTGCAAATCACAACATAATAATAAACGAAACAAAATGTGTGAGATAGATGCTGCCATTTTGACTAGAGAAATAGAGGATGATGTTTTTTTGTCCAGATGATGGACCGACAGTGACCAAACGACAGCGGTCATTGTGAATAATGTGCTTCATATACAGTACTTTGAGTCCACACACATACTGTACAAGAACACACTATAAACCGGTGTCACTGGGTTCAATGTGGCATTTTTAAGTAAGAATTTCTGCACAATTCATTAGGCATAAACCGGTGCAGTCAAGGTCTGCAATTAAATCATACACATGTAAAAAACAAAGTGCATGTTATTATTCTAATAAGGTGGATGACTGCACTCTGGACCTTGAAATAAAAAAAAATAAAAATAAATGTCTTTCTACAAAATAGTAACAGGAGTGAGATGGTTCTGGAGGCGTGGGTTTTTTTCAAGTTCACTTTTAACGCTGCGTTTTATTTGAACATGCTCCTTCCATGTAGAGTTTACTTAAAGATTGTATGTACGGTACATTTAACTTACAGCATTAGGTCATTCCCTGAATTGCTCACCACATAATAATTTAGACTGTTCACATGATCACAGCAGATGGGCCTGATGGATGCAGAACTGAACTATAAGCATGTTTAGATGTATTAGTGTAGAGACGCTGGGCTATTGGAGCATGTCCAGAAACACTGCCTTATTCAAGCAGCATGATGCTAACACCGTCGTCCTAACCAGTTTAATAACATGAAACGTTATTGGACAAGCAGGTCAGTAGGTACAGTATATGTGCCACTACAGCCTAAATTATTGTATGTTGTGCTTTATATCAGTAAACTTTAGTAAACATTAGTCTCAAGACCGTCTTTTTCTGTCTTTTTCTGTTGCTGTGTCATTGCAGCTCTTGTTCATTGTTTATACAATAGATATAATTTGGCAAATAATTCAATTTCATATTTTTTTAAGTATATATTTAAACATTTACAAAAAAAACAAGACAATGAAACGTCTACAAAATGTCAAGGATTATTAAGTTATATAAGAAATTTTAATTAAAGGGAAACACCAAATAACTAAAGCTCTGGATGACTTATCATCATTCTGAGAACCATGTCCTTCCGGACACATTTATTCTCCTATTTTTTCAGCATACAGCTTTTAGTGACTGGTGTTTGGGGCTTGGGTCATGTGTTTATTTAGAGACATAACAGCTTGAAGCAGGGCCTTCTGGGTAAAAGTCAAACTCCCCACCCACTGAGCTACAGCCACCCCTGCTGGCTATTATAATACCGACTATTTGAATTTCAAATTCTGCCGCAGTCAGGACACTATCGGCTGAATCATGTGGTGAAACTTTATTGAACACCTTCAACAATGAGCCGCGGCTGAAGAGTGAATGACACCATACAGTGTTTATCCAGAGTCATTACTGATGGGGTGCGTGATAATGCAGACAGACTATAACAATAAAAAATATTTACCCACTCAATTTTTGTTTTTGATATATATTTATATATTTATTTGCGATATACTTTTTTTGTTGCTATTTGGCCATGAAAACGAATAAGGTTCTTGGCAGTGCTTTCCAGATGTAATCACGCTGAGATTGGCCCCTTTTTTTACCATCTAATCGAAACTAAAATACCTCAAAACCTTGTTTACTTGTTGCCTAAAGCCCTTCATTCCATATCTTGACACTTGCCATCAGACTCGCCTGCACAAACAACCAATAATTAGGTGCACGTTGACAGGAACCAGACTGAGCCCTTTTTTAAATTCATGAACAGCAGGTCATTCTCTAGTCCTATTCAAATCCTGTATAAAGCAGTATTTAATAAAACACACACCGCGTGTACTTTTCTGCTGCTACTGAAACAATTCTTATCTGGGTTTCAGTATTTGTTTTAGGACGTAGGGCAGGATGTAAAAGCAGGCAGTGATGGAAGGAATGTTCTTGTGACTCACTCGTTGTCTGTTTACACACACAATCTCTCTGCTACCTTTGTTGACCTTCGTGCCCTTAATGTGGAGTGTAGCGACCGAACAGGCAGACTCTGTGCTAATGAACACAAACAGTTATTCATTCCTGAATCAGGTGCTCGTTTGTCTTTTTTGGAGAATGTCCAACATTCTCCTGTTCATTTTGGGAAGCAGGGATTACATTAAAAAACTTTTTTTTTCTCTCTCAGTTATTCCTCTCAGGCTGTAATTGTGTCTCCGCTGTAGCTGCTGAAACCACATGCTGATGTTATATTGATCTATTTTTGAGGGAAGGTTGTTGCATTTTTAATTTAGGTTAAGGGCACGAATACACACAGTAGCGTATTGTGTAGCTACAGTAATAAATAGCCTGCCTGTTTCCCATGTATTTCTTCTAAAGTGATTGAAATTGAATTTGCAGAATGTCAGTTCTAAAACCTTTTTTTTTTCTTTGTCTTGGCTCAGGTGGGAACATGTTTGGCCACAGATTCAAACCCTGCAGCTGCACTCACATGGAAAAAAAATGGTCATCCCCTGGTCGCTGATGGGAAAGGTAACCGTCCGTGCCGTTTGCTGACACACCCAGAAAGTGTCCAGCATTCGCACCAAACAGTCACACAGGGAATCGTTGGTTGACCACGTTTTCTTTTGTTTTGTTTATTTGTTGCTGTAAAATAGAATTGTTTGGGGTTCTCATGTTTAACCGAGGACACATGAAATGAAAAGTCAGTGACACTGCACTGCATCTTCACAATATCATGAAAATCACTGGAGTTAGGTTCAGGTGAAAGCACAGGTGAACTAACTAACCTTTATTTCTTAACACCAGGGGTCACTAATGTAGTAACTGGGTTCACCTGGTAGCCCTCCTGGACAAACAGTAACATTATTATTATTGTTACTATATACTTTATATTATATTATTATTGGTTTAACACCAGAAGATGAAGACTCGCTGGCTATTGTACATAAACACAAAATGTGTCCTCCCCATTTAACCCTTTGACCCATTCATGATCTGCTGTGATGGCTTTCATTATGGTCACCTCTCCAGACCCGGCCGAGGTCTCTGACAACTGACTTGATCCTCTCATCATTCAGACATGTTTACCAGTGTTGTTGCTGAGAGACGAGCTAAACATTTTCTGCAGGAAGTGCAACACAAAAACAGGAAGATGACTGTGCTTTTGGTCTGTGCAATTCAGACTAATCCTGATGTCACTGTGGCCAAGTGTTGCTGTGTTGGAAACTATTAGAGAACCCATTTTTCAAGTTGAATTATTTTAAAGTTCACCCAGCCAGTAGATTTAGTTCAACTTCAACTGACTGATTCCAAGGCTATTTTCTACCAAAACTGTGAGATTCCATTAATCGTTTTGTGAGTGTCTCCGTATTTGTGTATCTGTCTGTATGAGTTAACAAATAAAGACCACAAGCTGAGGTGAAACAGAGAGCATTTTAGTAAAAAGAAAAAACACTATAAATAAATATTACCTAGTCAGTGGTATTATTAAAGCTGAGACTACAGTTGGTGAATAAATCTCTCTTAAATGTGTAAAAATACTTCCAGTTTACTGAAGGTGATACTACGGCTAGTCAGGACACGTCAGCTGAGGATACATCCATCCAGAAGACAGATTTCCTTGCCTGCACTCTGATTTAGGTCCAGCAGCAGTAACTTTGCAGAAAGCAGAGGAGGAGAGTGGGGTCAGAAGTACAGCTTCTCCACAACAGTCAGGCATCACAGCAGCCGCACTCGGCAGAATGTTGTCCTCCGCCAGAAGACAGAGCCGGAATGTTTTTTATTGATCATGAACAGTCCACACAAATCTACAGAAAGTACACAGTGTTGTTACCCAAACACCGGCTGAAAAAGTAATAAAGCCACAAGGATTCATACTCCCTGCTGCCGTACATACAGCCGCTATATCCGTCTTTGTGCTGTCAGATTTGGGACTAAGAAGGTGTGTTGTAGTTTGTAACCCACACGGTTTCTTCAGCTGAACAAGTGTTTGTGCACATACTGTAAAATCTGTCTGTTTGTTTGTTTGGGTCTGTGTCATGGCTCTGTCTCTTTCTCTGCAGCTGTTGTGATCACCTCCAGCATTAAGCTGGATCCAGCCACGGGTCTGTCCACCGCCTCCTCCATGCTGCAGTATGTTGCCACCAAGGATGACGCCGGAGCGGTGTTTTCCTGTCATTCCCAGCATGAGCTAAAGAACGAGACGACGACGCTCGAACCCATCCCCATTCACTGTAAGCCAAACACACCGCTGTCCAGACTTTTCTCTAGTCTCAGGGGAAGTTTCAGGTCCGAGGACTTTATTCTATTTAAACATCTGCCTGCACATAAAGTAATGATTAGTCCTTGATGAACTTTATTTAACTTCTAACAACCAGCGGTTATATAATGGAGACTGAGCCTCCTTTTCCAGCAGTAGTGAATACATCTACTGTTCTTGGACTAGAGAAGCTGAGGCGAACACTGCAGCTCATCCTGACAACTTACTGAGGGCCTCGGTGCCGGCTTGTTACACACTCCTATTCTCCAAAAAGAATTATGTTACTCTTAAGCAACACTTTGCACCGAATGAGTAGGAAGTCCGCGAGGATTCGCTGTGAAAGTCGATGTTCACATAGTGTGCGAGTGATAACCGAGATGGGCGTTTGTTTACGCACACGCACACCGGCGCAGCGGAGGACGGGAAGTATAGCTTTTATTCGGTACCACATTGCACAGATCAGCTCCGTTATTGAAGGGGAGAAAAACATCTCACATGCACACGAGGCTTCCCTCAGATGCCGCTCACTGCGCTCGCAGACATAAAATGTCCCTCTGCAAATATGGGTTTACGGCTCACAGACTCTGCTTATGAGGTTTTCTATTGTGGATTTTTAGACTAAATACACAGCATGTTTGTCATCCAATATTATGCAGTGTGTCCTGGCTTTAAGGTGTATGCAGAGTGGAGCGGTAAAGGTTACATAAGGTCAATCTGCTCCTCTCTGCTTCAAGACTGCCCCCTGCTTCAGTCAAATCGTTCTTCGTATTTTGAACATTCAATTTTAGTTAATGTTACTCAGACAATTGTGAGCTGGTTGTAATAATAATTTGGTTAACACTTAGCAGCAAGAAATAGCTTGCTAGCTTAGCAGTGTCCGAAAGAAGCCGGAGAATAAAGTTAGGCTCACACCTCACTAACATGTGATGCAACAGCATACTGTATGTGTGTATGTAGGTGGGTTTGTGTGTGTGTGTGTGTGTATAAACAGTGGAGTTGTTTTTTTGCCTGAGGGGGAAAGGTTCAAAGACATGATGTTCTGGGTGGGACGAATGGTTCGGACAGGATCCTGCAGCACACTGGGCGGGCAAGGTTGACTGCTGTTGATCAATGGGGGGTCAGTCTGCAGCCGCTGATCCCGTCAACAAAGTGAATGATGTCTGAGGCCTCTGAATAACTAAAAAACCTCTTGTTGAAGTGATGCAAATTCAGAACGGTTATTGCAAATAAATGCATTCCACAGCTGCATACAAGGTCAACATTAAAAATGTTTTTTTTAATGTGATCCAGAAGGAAATTCAATAACTGTAGTCTATACAGTGTTTCCTATACCTGCTTTGGAATGCATTGATTTTTTTTTTTTTTTTTTGCCTCAGTCTGGTGGATTCCTTATGAGAGGTGCTGCAGTACATGACACAGCTACTACACACAGCTGTTCCCTGTCTGTGACTTCATTAAATCACCTGGAATGGACACCGAGCCGCAGTGTAACCAAACAGACCTCCACACTCAGAGGAGCAGGGCACTCATTAAAAACACTGCATCGCACCCGCGCTGGAAGTAGAACAATTACAAAGCCAGCCCACACACACCTGCACACATCACCTGAGAAGCATGCACTCATGTAAGAGTTCTTGCTCACAATCTGTATGCACAGAAGAAACTCTTCACATCATTAAATATTTATCGACAAATCATAGCATTAAGGAGGAAAATATGGACAATCTCTGACTCTGATGTAGTCCTGCCATGTTGTGGATATTTTTCTGAAGAAATGGCAGTAGTCATCATTGCTACATGTGGAAAAAACACATTTATATATAACATATATATAATATAAATATATATATATATATATATTATATTATGTTGTCCTCTACATACATTATATAGTCATAGAGTATATGAATATATACTGCAGGTAGAGGAAAACAAAAAGATAACTAAATGGAGTTTGGGAATGACTATGCAGGCATTCAATGATGGCACTTAAACAAAATCCCCGTGACTGTATGTTGGTGAGCTGCTCAGCAGTTTGTTGTCACTCACATGAAATATTAACATCCACGATTAGGTTAGTGTGAATGAGGAGCAGGTGATACATGCTGAGTGTTCCAACTCTGTAATGACATTTTGTACTGAGCATAATGTGCTTTCGCCTGGCTTAGATCTATCACTATTAAGGGTTTTTATTTGAGAATGGAATATCCGCGCTTCGCGAGCGCAACTAACACATGCTGGTTTTTATGTTAATGGTGCAGAGGATCTTTAATCTGGCCCCAATTCACCACCTCACCATCTGTGCCACCGATCAACAAAATGTTCACGGGTGTCGCTCAGACTATGAACAGGTGCACACGCTGTTTGGCCACTTCTTATCACACATAGACCGCGGAAACAGAAAACATTCTGCACTGTGCCATTAATCATAAAAACGTGGCACCCTTTTTAAAGGAGGCTACAACGAACAATCACCCGGAGCTGATAGTCTGGTGTCTAGTTGGATTCCCTTTATCTAAAGTAGACGAAGTATCATTGTTGTGCCGCTGTGGTTTCAGGATGGACAGACACAGATTCCTATAAACACGTCGCCAAGTCTTTATATTATCGGCTTTAAAAGATTCAAAAGTCATTTTACTTTTGTCCTCTAAGTCATTCATCATCGACGAAGGTGCCGGAAAGACTTTTACTGCCTAATGTTGCAGCACAGCCGGCCTGATCACTGATCTCAGACACAGAGAGAGTCAGCGTGGACGGGTGGATAAAAGAAATTACGATGTTGTCCTGTTGGACAGATGCACCTATTTCTTACAGTCCCTTTCATTCAGGACACCAACATAATCGCAAATGCTCGACAGACGAAAGCATCTTATTCCTTTTATTATTCATACAACTGCAAAGGAGTGAGCCTCCCAAAATTTGCATGCCCTTGAAAAAGACATTGAAGCCAAAATAGATCACACATTGTCAATATGCAGGAGCAGCATCAGCTGTGTTCCATAAATGTGAAATGCATCCAGACAGATTTCCAAATAAATAATTCACTCAGCGAGTGGATTGTGAAACTGGTGGGAATTACTCTCCTGCACCTTCTTTTTTCCCCCCACACTGATTAATGACAGTAAAGGTTGTGTTGCTTTGATTGAACAAAATGAAACGCTCTCAACTGCCAAATGCCTGACAATGGCCTCACTCCTAATTTACACGTGGAGAGCTCGCCGAGTGCATTAGTGGCTCCAACTGCTTTGATTAAAAAAAAGCTTTATAGAGACGGAAAGTAATCAGAAGCCAGTCCACTGTAGAGGATGTAACGTTCACCGTGATAGAGATGTGTGATAATAACACACACCTGCAGCTGAAAAACACCTGAAAGGATTGGCTGCTTTTTACTGAATGTTACAAACACAACACATAATTTCACTTATTGCCTATTGTAACTCAGCAGGACATAAGCACGGCTGCATTACTGCGTCTGCTGGATTATCATAAGTAGATGGGAACAAGCCGGTACTGAACCTCACCCTCCCCCCTCTGTGACCCGTGATTTGTGTATGTAAAATCATTGCCTGTGAGCAGTGGACTTAGCAATATAAAACAGTAGGCGCTGTTAAACGCTCAGTGTGCCCCTCGTCACGACACAACACTCTTCCTTTTCACGTTTCAACCATAACTCGCTTCTTATTTTATTAGACCAACAGAAATGACACTGAAGCTGACCACAGTGGATTTAAGTTGATACACACTGGGCTGTGATGGTATTGTAGCATTGCACAAACTTTCCATGTGGTAATACATTTTTTTACATAACAAAGTTAAATCAATCAGTTTAACCAATACTCAATGAGTTATATGAATGATTTAAGATGAAAAGTTCATTCTGGACGAAGGAAGAAGCTCAATAATTGAAGGCTGGAGAATCTTTAGAGACCCCGGCAGTGGCCAGTTCAGGAAGATAATTCCAATTTGGGCTGCTGTGGTGTCTTCTTCCGCCCACTTCAGCTCATGAAAAACTAATCGGCTCACCTTTTGAACTGTGATGATGAAAGATTGCACCATGTGTATCTTCCATGTGTGGAGAGTTGGCTGAAGTATTTGTTACCGGAATGAATTCTCTGAGCCTCGCACTCTCGCACTGTCTTTCTAGTTTTCTAATCTCTTCTCCTACTGATTGTTCTCTGACCCTCCCAGACCCGTCAGAGAAGGTTAGTCTTCAGATTATGCCCAGGAGGCCCATCGTGGAAGGAGATAACGTGACGTTGAAATGCCAAGCTGATGGAAACCCTCCACCCAGCTCCTTCTACTTTCATATTAAGGTAAGTCGGTCCATAAGAGACACAGGTCAGTTAATGTTAAATTCTCTTTCTGCATTTATTCAGTAAATATCACTGACTTTAGGGTCTGTTTACAAGAGCTATTAGCTTAAAAAATGCAGCAGTTGAAAAAACATAACAGACAAAAAAACAACCATTACAAAAACACAAAGAATCAATAACAATAACTGCAGGAAGCATTAAAATGGTAAAAAGGTACATTCAGCGTTTTTTAAATGGAAGGGAAGTGAAAGAATGTAACTTTGAATTTGAAAAATGATACAGCGATGCAGTGATTGTCGTTGACCTTGTTGCAGCTGCTGAGGTGAAGTTTGACTCTAAACAACGTCTACAAAGTTTGTAACAGACGAGGCCGACGTGACGTGTTTTTAAAGGCCTCTTCAATCTGACAAAAAATGAAATTTCCAAATAATTAAATGAGCCTCTTTTAAGGAATGGTCCTCGTCTTTCTCTGTCCTACTTCCTGACAGACGCTAATAGCCCTCCTCCTTCTTCTTCCATTAGGGGCAGAAAATACTCGTGGAAAATACGGACACCTACACTCTGGCATACATCAAAAGAGACGCAGCGGGTGAATACAAATGCTCTCTGACCAACAACGAGAAACTGGAGGCCTCTGAAACCATTGCTGTTGGCTGTGAGTGCTCACAACACTGCACACTGTACAGCAACACTGCTGCGGCACGTACACTTCCTGCCTTTATCTTCAACTAACAAATGGCTACGCCTTTACTCGACCACATTCTTCTCTCCCTGATTGAAATTTTCTGCTACCCACAAGGCTTTTTTATTCAGTGTAAATAAAGTCCCGGAGAAGAGTAATGGCATCTTTAAACTCCGAGAGCCCAGGCAGGCAGGCAGGCAGGCAGGCAGGGAGAACTAATTAGACATTTGTGACATCCGGTGAGCAGAAGTGACAAGGTTTTTGGGCGGGAAACGATCTCAAGCAAAAGTTAGGCTGTTTTTTTTCTTTTTTCCTCCTACCAGCCACTGACACTCCCTCAAGTAATTACTCGTGGCTTTGCAGGTGAATGTTTCTGAGTCTTCAGTTAAAATGGCTTCTGTGATTGTCATAAAAACAAGGCTGACACAGTTTCCCTCCTCTATGTCCTGCACTGCAGTTTCATTGTATTTCACACATCTGAAGGAGTTTTGGTTTTTTTTTATTCCTAACTCCCAACTTTTAAATTGAGTTTGAGACTGTGGAAAGAAAAACAATAGCTCTCTAAATTGTTTAAAAAATTCTCACTCTATGTTTTTGTCTTGAGGGAACATGTCCTTATGTTATGAGAACACTGAGGGGGGAAAAAGAGTGAAGCACTTCAGCACATGCTTTCCCCTCATTCCCTACTTATATATATTGAGACGGGAATAATAACAGAAAAATTAATATTTAGATGCATTAACAAAATGAAATATTGACACAAGTAATGCTATCAGTAAAATGAGTTGGGTGAAAAAAAACATTCAGATCAAGTGATGTGTCTCCCCACAGAGGTCAGTCTAAATGGTTTCCAACAGAATTGGCCAAATTCTTGGATCCACAGCCGGGACTTTGAAAAGAGCTTGTAAGGTCTTAGCCAAGAAGTCTGTACAGCCTGTATATAAAAGGTGACTGTCTGCTTCAGGCCTTATTATAAAGTCAACAGTCTTTTCAAAGAACATTTCCAACCATATCTTTAGAGCCAAGAGTTCTTTTTTTAAAGCCAACAAGTGCATTTTGGGATGTCTTTTCACTGCCGTCCAGGAGGAGCTAGTTCATTTCCTCACCATTCAAATGGTTCATGATGGTACATTTTTTAAAGAACACGGTGAGCTGTCCCTGCTGACTTTCTTTAGAAACAGGGTTTAGGCTAACTGCTAACAACACAGGCACATCTGCTTCCTTATTTGCAATTGTTAGGCTGCAGAAACAGCAGTGAATGTGACATCAGAGGAATGTGGCTCGGGAGCAGCACACACAGCAAGCAGGAAGAGATCAGGGTAACATGCTGACAAAGGAACGGCGGTTCGCACAAGGTCCAGAGCTGGACATGGGTCAATGGAGAGAAACCCATTTAGAATGGTCTAAATTTATAATGAGAGCGACATGCTGCGTTTTTGTAAGATTAGTAAGATGTCTGGTGCTGACTTTGCAAATACGAGTAAATCATGATTGAATGTGTGTTTTTGTTTTTGTTTTTTTTTTGCTACCCATAGAGCTCTTTAGGCTAAAGAAAATTATTTTGTCCTGTGCCAACTTGTTAATCCAGAGTTGGATCACTATCAACTGTAATTCTTTGCAGTTAGAGCCTTTGTTTTGGGACAGAGCCCGAATGCTTTGCGGTATATGCTCTGAGTCTATGTCGGCAACATGTAAACTGAAGAACATGGGACCAAGAGCAGAGCCCTGGACCACTCAGATCACCTTCACTGAGAATTTTAGTAAATGCCAAGTCTGTGTTGGACATGTTCCAGTGAAATAGAATGATCACCAGTGTTGGAGTCAGCACTTAGACCTAATAGAACTAAAACTGAAGATTTTTCAGCATCAGCAGTAACAAAGAGATCATTCATCACTTTGAGAAGACTTTTAAAAAGCTGCCAGTTGTTTCGCCGGAACTTTTTATAAAACAACGAAGAGGGGGGAAAAAAACTGTTTGGAAATTAGTCTAAAACTCTCCGGAGACTTTGAGTTAATTCAGAAGGACTCCAACAACTATGTTAAGAGACAATAATGAGATGTTAATGATGTGGAAAATATATGGGACCTCTTCTTTTAGAAATCTCACAGGCTGACAGTAGAAATTTGTTTTAGGACCAGAGTAGGGAGCTATGAGAATCACTCTGATGCTGGAGATTTTGTTAATAAAAGGTATAAAAAAATCCCTCACTTTTATTGGTCCATAAAAAGACATTAAGAGAAGCTTTTGTTTCACAGTTGATCAACATGTTGGAATTTGGATTAAGTGATGTACAGCTCTCGTTCTAATCCACTCCACCCACATCTAAACAACGCTGCATATATATTCAGCACTACGTCCGAGTCATTATCTGGCACAACACACCTTCATTCCTCCATATCTCTTTTCATACTGGCACGGAGAGGGGAGGGATTTGATTCTGTGAATGATAGAGATAAACTTGACTTGCAGGGCGTGAAGAATGATGTTCAATCATGTTTGGAGTATTTGCCATTGTTTGGAATTTTCAGTAAAAAAGTAGGATTTGCAAATAAATCAAATGTGTTGCCCGTCTACAATTCTGATAAATGTTGTTCAAATAAACATGTGGGTTGAAATGTTTTGGAAAACTGGAGCAGTGATACTGGCCTTTATTTTTAAAAACTCATTATCTACTGAAAAAAATTCTAATTAAAAGTCTAAGCCAAATCTGTTCTTAGTGAGGATGAGTTTAAAAGGAAGAAATTATTAGGCAGATTATTTTCAAATGTGTTTCAAGTAATACGCTCTTTGTCTCGTTTTCAGACGGTAGGTACAGTATAAAGAAAACAAGCTCTCCGCACAGACTCACTGTGTCTGAGAGTCGACCCTATTACAGCTTTCAGTGCATCCTCTCCAAGGTTATAACACGATAACATTATGTTGTCTCGCTGAAAAGCTGCCAAATGAATGGGCACCATGTTTTCCTGTCCAGTTGCAGCAGCAGAGGTCTTCAGGTTGTAGGGTCTTTCTATAATATGTCTCTTTAAGATTAAAAATGGTTTTATCTCATTGGATAAAATGATGCAGTGGTGGCATCAATGGTCAACTTCAGTAACACCATACCGTTCAGAAGACCTTTTTTCCTGTCACACTGTATTTAAAGCCCCATCTGTGCCTAAGAGGAAGCTCAGAATATTGGGTGTACATCGATTGTGGTGCTGACTCAATTCTGTCCTGTTTTCTCAGACCTGGACCTGAGTCTGAGTCCCACTGGGAAGGTGGTGAAGAAAGTTGGTGACACCTTAACTGTGAAGATGGAAAAAAGCACTTCTGGTGATGCCAAAGTGTCATGGACAAAGGTACGATGCTGGTGTTAAGACGCTGATTTTTAGATTTGATACAGACCTCACTGATATTGTTTACCTGCTCTATTGTATATATATATATATATATATATATATGTGACAGTTTTATGACATTTCCAGTGTGTATGAAATAACTACTGTGCAGAGAAATGAGCCATTACTGAGAAGCTACTTTTCAGATCTGACCACTTTGACCCAGTCCCTAATTCCAATGGCTATACTGCAGACCATGACAGAGAGCTTTCCATGCTTCAATTTATCCATCGTTGTCATGAGTCATTGGCTTTGTATTTTTTCCTGGCTTCCATTGATGGATAATGGACCAAAGACTTTCAACGGGGACTCAAATACTTTTGTCTATCTTTAATTTTAGTCCTTATGTTATTTTGATCATTTAACTCCTTTGCCTCTGTGCCCTCCTTCAGGGGTGAAAATGGTTTAAAGGTCTGAACTCATCCTACTTCTATTATAATCATAGACTTAATGCTTATTTTTGAGACTTGATTAAAAGTTAGAATCAAAAAAACTTTAGTGTTCTGTGGGGGAACAGAAAAGTAAAGTAATGGGTATATACTAAACGAATGAAGTAAAATATGTCCAGAATTAAATGTAAACAGGTTTTATGGAACAGTTAGCACAATCAGATATTTTACAGTATAATCAGATGCAAAATATTGACCAAAATCACTTCTTCAGTTCAGTTCACTTTCAATATCTTACTGTCTCTGTTTGGTGAATCAAAGTTGTTCCCTTTGGAAAACAAGTGCAAAAAATCTTTGACGGGATGGGAAAGATTTGGCTAAAGTCCCACTGCTCAACAGTTGTGATACAATCAGTCAGAGTGAATGTTAAGACCAGGTGTTGAATGGCCAAAGGAAACCCAGCAGGTTTGCCAGGCGGTCTGATTCCCCTACAGCCAGTAATGGAAGCCTACAGCAAAAAAATCTCCGCCGTGAACACTGGTCAGGCGCTGATGATTTGTTTTTCCTTCAACACCTCAGGAGCTCAGCTGTTGCAGTGAAAGCATTTATTCAGCACTGTGAGTTTGGCAGAGAGCTCCGTCTGCACTACATATGCTACATTTGTAGATTGCGCTGTAGATTTATAAGTGTTCCACGGAGGAAAATGAAAAGCTTTCCTACAAAGGTAGAAGTCTTTGTGACCTTGTGGAGCAGACACAAAGCAATTATAGATCAGTTTTCATCAGTGTACAGTGTGATGATATGAGATTTTGTTTTCAGTCTTCAGAGAAGTGGACATGAAAAAGAAATGAAAGAATTAAACTTGCATCGTTCATGTATGGTATGCTAGCATGTCCTTGCTGAGGCTCAGCTGTGAGGGCAGCTGGATATGGGACAATAAGTGGCAACAGCATTTCCATGGTACATTGCTGACATTGAGAATTATTTTTTTTGTCACAGAACGGGAAGTCAGTGAAGGAGCCAAAGTTCAGCAAGTTGACCTTCGCAGATGCCGGACTCTACCTCTGTGAGGTTACCATGGTGGACATCGCACGACGTCAGAGCTTTGAGCTCGTCGTAGAAGGTACTGTAGGTCGGAGCACTCAGGCTGTGATCCGGACACAAACAAGTGCACCATCCGAATCCAAATCTGCTGCAGTTCATCTGATAAAGATGCCATGCATGAGCGCACTGCAGCTCCATGCTGCTCATAAATCTGTAGTTTGCTGACAGACCCTAACATTTCATTAACACAAATTGTTAAAATGTAAAAATGATCCCTCCTACCAACTGTGAATTTTCATTAGTCAGAATAACTGCATTGTGAGTGCATGTGTTTGTGTGTAAAATGGTGCGTGTCTTTCCCATATGGTATTCATCTATTCGTGTGTGTGTGCGCATCAGGAAAGCCTGTGATCACCAGTCTGACCAAACGCCGTGCTGATGATGCCAAGCACGAGGTTCTGACCTGTGAGGCTGAAGGAGTTCCAGAGCCCAGCTTCCAGTGGAGCGTTAACAGCACGCATGTAAGTGTGGGGTCTGATGTGTTTGTAGATGGATGTTTTTCTATGTTTATTAACAAGATAATGGCAGTTAGGGTTCATTAAATTTTCCAAAAAAATAGAAAAGAAGTGCTCTGAAATAATCTTCACAGCTCTGTGGGGACGGCTCAGTGCGGCGGTTTCCAAAACTGTGCTGTTAAAAATGATTCAGGGCTGCTGCTGAACAACTTCCTATCGATCTGTCTCCGCTAATAAATCCAGGCTGAGGACATAAAATCAGCAGTGATTTCTGCATGTAAATGTGGAGATTGACGTGCAGACGAGAGCCAATCAGAGCTGTGGTAGTTGGCTAGAAGAAATAATCTGGCGTGTGTACAGTACAGTACAGTACAGTACAGTACAGTAGGACAGATATATTGATTTGTTCTGGCCTTTTGTCAACATTTCAATGCTACTGTATGTATGTTTATGTATACAGTAATGAGTACTATGATACTCACTGTATCTTCTGCCAGGATAATAAAATGAAAATAATATTGTCAATAAATAGTAAAAATAAGCAGTATAAATTAAGATTTTACAGGTTACGCATAGAAATATGATATTTTATTTTGTATTATTTAAATTCAGTACACTAAAATATTTTGCCATGCTGAATAAAACTAAACATTAATTACAACAGCTGTATTGACTTCATTTGGACTCAGTCCAGGGTACAGTTTAGTCTAAGGCTAAAACTAAGTCAAAATTGGACGACATCCTGACCTACACATTTTCTTTTTACTGAAGCACAAAATTCATGCATTATTGCGACAATGGCAAACTCTATAATTGGATTAAAAAACAAAAACAATTAAGAATCAATTGGTCACAAGCCATTTCTCTGATATTTCTGTATTTTATCATGTGGCAGCCATAAGCTTTTAATTTCCTGTTTTTAGAGGCATTTAAACTAATTAAAGCTCTAAATAAAAAAGGAATCGTTTATCACCTGAGAGGAGATTTTTAGAGTTGGCTTCAAAAACAGGTGGAACAGTGAACTTAGTTAAGTTTATTTGTAGAGTTAACACTTCTTTCTTTTAACTGGCAGGGAAACAAAACAAAAACCAAACCACCAAAACACAACCTATTTGGTAATTATTTTTAATTAATGTTAATTTAACTTACGGTCTGCTAATAGGCACAAAATTGAATCAGTTTATATTTACCATGGGTGACTTTGTGTTGTTGCGTGTGAGTTTCATTGTACTTTACTTTGTATAGTTCGTTTACAGTGAGTATAGACATTGACTTTTTATACGATCCTCCATTTTTTGGGGGGATGACGTAGTACAGCTGTCTGGTCATACCTTCTGCTGGACACTCTGACACTACAATGTGTTTGCACTTGGAACATTTTTATGGTTCTGCTTTGGTTCTGCATTCACTCCTCAGTGGAACCAAAGGTTTGCGGTTCATTGTTCCTACTGCCCCTCCCACCGAAATAATAGAACTCTCATCAGTGTAAATAAATGCACGAGAGCTGATCGTTCTCACCGTGGTCAGACGTGAGTAGGTTTCAGTGTGTGAAGAGCAGCTTTGCTGCAGCTACAGTGGTGAAGGCTGCTGTGATTAACGTGGTCTTGGAGGACGCCGTTAGGCTCCGCTTTGCATTTGCAATTAAAGTCAAAAGAGACTTCAACTCATTTGTTCAGTCATCTCACTGCTGCGCTGAGGCTGCGCTTACTGTAAAGGGCAGGATCGTTCTAGCTGCTGGAGCGCACGACTCGCTCTCTGAAGAGGACAGCGTTGCAGCAGCGGAGTCATTAGACTCAGTAGCAATAATTACAAGCATTAGCAGCAGACGTCACGTACAGTGTCGGATCGTTTCAGGTCACTATTGTCAAGACAACGCAGACTCGTGATCACACGTGATGAGTGGGGCATTGTTCTGCAGAGGCAGCAGGGCGTTTGGGGGGGGTGTTTAAATCTGTACGTGACTGTGAGTACTGTGTTCTCAAGTACAATGAGTGTCGACCTTTGACCCAGGGTCGTACTTCTGTTATTCACATGTTGCATTCCTGTGCAGACCTAAACTTGTGGCCCAAAATTGTGTTGACTACACAAAGCACTCCAGGCAGCTACACCACCTGTAGGGGTCTCACATCCAGCCAGAGGCTGCAGAACGAGGAACAGGAACACAAAAGGGCATTTTCCATGGGTGATGATTGTTCTGGGTTATGCAAGGCAGTCACACAATCAAAAAAAAAAAAAACAGGAGTCACGTTCTTGATTGTGGAGAGAAATTGCTTCCACTGGAATAAAATTTGAAATCAAATACTCATTTGTGGAATGCCAGGCAGATATCAACCTTCAATTTATAGCATGAATGGAACTGTGATGGAAAAAGCACAGCAGCTCTCTGCAAACATAGAGGCCGACCAAGGAAAAAAGAAATGGGCAAACTTGATTTCTGTCTGTAAACAATATTCTGAGCCAGACAAAGGCATGTCCGCTGTTTCTTTATGTGTGTGAACGTAAAGAAAAGTCCAAAAATACACACAATCTCCCTGCTTTTCTAGGCCTGTCAAGGGTGAACGTCACTTTTGACCCGTGCTGAATTTGATTGACTACAGCTCCTCCTGTGGTACTCAAAGGAATTGTGCTGTGCAAAATGAATAAATTATTATATGAATAAATGAATAAATAGATGGTAAACAAAACTCTGGTGCTGTCCTAGTAACTAGACTTGGTCCTATGATGAAACATTTTAATGTGACATGACAGTGTGTTTTCATCTTCAGACAAAGTCACCATTCAAAGGTATCAGGTTACAGTTCATTTTAAACCATAGGATAAACCTTTTAATTTAAACCTGTTGTTGTTTCCAATCTGTCCATCCACCTTTGATGAATACTTTGGTGGAGGAAGAATTCTTTTGTCTTTGCCTGTATTTTCTACCGGCAGGGTTCGGCTCCCCTTCTGATGTTGACATTTCCACAATTTTCCTCCCATTATGTCTTCCCAGCATCGCAGCACTCTCCTTCCCCAAGAATCAAAAACATCGATAATGAGCGCAAAACTAAAGAGGCTGCTCTGCGTGTGAGACGTTTCTTTCCAAATCTTTCTGAACGTGTTTTCTATTTCTGTGTCTCCAGGAGCGGAGCTCCTACGTCAACGGCAAGGCCACACATATAATCACCGTGGTGCCAAAAGTGAACCTGACTGTGAGCTGCAGTGTCAGCAACAGGCTGGGTGATGATGTCATGACCATCAACGTTTCCTCTGGTAAGTCGGCGTGTGAGCGGAGCAGCGGGGGGTGGAACGGCTTTTGGTTTTCGAGTGCTAAAAAGCTGTGATGCTGGTTTGACACCGTCAGGTGTTCACAGTTCAGAATCGTTAACAAGAAAGGAATAATTAACACTTTAATCACATTAATGAATTTAAAATTAAATCAGATTTCAATGCATTTGAGAATGATTTGCACTGTAGATCCAGTAATTTGACCATCCATCTAGTTATTTCTGCCTTAAAACTCCATCGATACTCTAGTCGTTATTTGCATACACATTCTACAATCAACTATCAGTCAGGACTAAATCTGTAAAGCAAAGTTTTAAGTGAAGCTTTAACGTATTTTTTTCTTAATTAATAATATTAACGATTGATCACGATTAATCAGAGAAATAATTCAACTCGTAGATAGAAAATACGTTTTACCATCTCTTGTGCTCCGTCCTTTGTTCATGTTAATTAAGACATTTGTCCAAATGGTCTATAGGAGAACAACATTTGTAAGGAACAAAAGAGATAAAGAATTTATTCTTCCCTTTGGTTTGGACCTCTCTCCCAGGCACACTGGCCATCTGCACATTTCACTCTATACTGCAGCTCTACAAATAAGCTGTGCTGCTGTGATTATTGTGCTGCTGCTTGTGTTACGTTGCAGCTGTAGCTTAATTACTGGAGCCGCTTTTTAATAATGACTACTCGCAACACTTCAATACTGATTTCACAACCAGAGAGGTTTCATTAAAGCGTACGTCTAAAGAGCCAGGGCTTCAGCTCAAAGCTGTTGCTGTCAGCATCTGAAGGGGACGCTTTTGTCAGAGTTCTTTTTATATTCTTTAAGGTAAAAACCAATTAATATAATACAAAATATGTGGCAAGAGGAGGAATAAAATCTGAATTTGAAAATGGGAAAAAAAATTAACTTCTTTTTTGGGGCTTAAGCAATTTATCCCAATGCATGGTGAAAATGCCTAATCTAAAAACTCTAATGTTTGTGACCATGTTGAGTGAGCAGTAAATATGAGTGTGTGAGTTCACACTGTGAATTTTCCGCTGTAGCTTTTTTTTATTATTATCGTGGCAGATCACAGTGACTGCAGATCACAGTGACTGCAGCTCAACAGGTTTCCTCTGCTAGATGTGGTGAAGGAAATGTGCCATTTTGTCAACTTTGTGAAGAATTTTGTATTTTGTTTTGTCAGTTAGTATTTAAAAATCTTTCACTTTTCTGACCTGGAGGTACAAAACCAGATACAAAACACTCCCCACTGTTACATTGTCACTGTGATTCGTGCTTTTTTTTTTTTTTTTGTAACTGCTATGACTCTGGTGCACTTGCACTGTCTCAGTTGTCAGAGGGAGTGAAAACAGGGTGAAAATGCCACAGGGCAGAGCAGCCACTCATCACCGCGAAAGTAGGTTTGACAAAACACCTGAAAGAACAGCTGAAGAAAAGTTTTTTTTTTTTTTTTTGCAAGTTCATCTGCTTTGAGTGAGTCACTCCCCGCCTTGGTTTTAAATGCTTCGTCAGAGACTTTGTTTCCTCATTTTGTTTTTGTATATCAGCATGGCAAAGATTTAGACCCGGTGTTCCAGGTGACTCTGGGTTTAATTCAGTTTCTTCTCCAGTGATTGATGAATGTGCGGGGTCACAGTGAGGGCGATGGGGAGAATCGTTCTGTATAAGTTACATACATCTGGGGCAAATCACTTCACACTGGGAAGATTTATAGGGCTGGACTTGAAGGAGTTGTTCTAACACAGCCACAGATACATCGACCTGGATGATCGAGAACCTTTGCAGATGAATCGTAAAACATATCTCCCACAATTCAATGTACGGCTGCTGTGTTCTTATAGATCTGCCTGGTGTTTTTTTCTACATTTTTTTTAAAAAGTTAATCTTCCATCAGGGGGATTTGTTTTGCTGAAATGAAGGTGGAAAACTTGTATTTAAAGAAGAAAAACACACAGAATCTCAACAGATTGGACAGGACTTTGAACCAAGACTAAACAAACAGAAGAGCAGCGTTTAATTAAAGCTAAACAAGATAATAATAAGATAAGTCGAATACTAAACACCACAGAAGCATCCTGTCATTTCATGCATACATACACGCCGTGTCATTGCTTCTCATTTACGTCTGGGATTATCCCTTTTTTGTTGTTGTTTACCACTTCTCTTCACTGTGTTTCTTTTACAGTTTTTTTTAGAACAAAGTTAATTATTGTTTCCAAGTTTTTTTTAGAACAAAGTTAATTATTAACTTTGTTTTATTATTAATTATTATTATTATCTTTGTCTTTTTCAATCAAGAAAATCATTTAATTATCCTGCCATACATGGACTCATGCATTCTGTTTTGTTTGTCTTTTAAGTTCTAATTTATTTGTGTCTGATTTCAGTTTTTATGGAGGAGAAAGAAGAGAAAGGTAAGATTTTGTTTACGTCTTTTTCTTTTTTTTCCCCCTGACTAGCTCACGTCCTCCTCCTGTGCAGACTCTTTCATTTTCATTCTACAAATGCAGTTGGTTCGTCTGTGTTTGATCATTCGCTCACGTCGCAGCGTTTACGTCGGGCTCACTCATGCGGAGAAGCTTCCACAGAGGCAGATTAGAAAGAAATTAGACTTTCTGATTGTTATCTAAGGAAGAACAGATGGCTGCGATGCAGGTTTAGAACACACTGGTCATGCAGAAACCCACCGTCTCTGTATGTCACTGATACTCCCTAAGATACACATCTGCTCAGTTCTTCTCTCGTATTAGGAGACGTTACACGATACTGTACTGAATGATCCAAACTCTGGACTTTAGGTTCAAATCCCAGCCATTCGACCTATTCTGTGTGTTGACATCCTACGACTCACTCACTTTGAATCAAAAGTAGTTCTACAATAATAAAGATCCACGTGTTTATATTTCGTTTTAGGATAATGTGAGGATATAATTTATTTCTGCCAGTGTTACCAATCAGTAAAAGAGTTTCTTTTAAAAAGAAAAGAGAAAAAAAGAAAATTAAACACACCGCCTGTCAGCGCATACTTCTCAAACTCCAAATACTAGGGCAAAAATAAATTGTTCATTAATTTCAGGAATTAAAGACAGAATTGAAGTAAATTCATCTGGTGTCTTACTGCCAATTTATATTTGGTTTATTAATGAAATTCTTTGAAATATTTGATGTAGCCCCTCAGCTTTCACCGAGTTCTGGTGATATATATATTGAAGTCATTGGTGACCGACATGTGAAGAAGAAACTCCTGGTCTTTTTTGACACTGTGCACTATAGAGTTTACCTGGATCTGCTCTAGTTGGACATTGCCTGTTTTCAGCCTACTTTCTGCTGACATGTGACAGTGCTGTGGTCAGCTTTAAGCCCAAATAGGAAACAATGCTGTATGGTACCAGCTATGGGCCAGAAATATTTTTGCTCTCTAGTTTTGTCCCTATGTATTTCTATACAGGACAGGGTTAAAGTCAGGTCTAAACGTAAACATACTGTAGGTACTGTACACATGTGACTGCTTAGAGTGAACAGCAGGTACCTGAAGCTGTCAACATGTGATCAGATCTCTTGGGACACAGGTATAATACTCCGACAGAATAATAGAACCAGGACGGGAGGAAGAAAGAAAATTGGAACTGTGCCCAGAGTCGTAACTTAGAATTATCTTCATTAATTTAATGGCGGAATAAAAAAAGGGAGGCAGGGACAGAATCCTCCAAAAAATCAGCTAAATCATCTTTAACCACAGTGAGGACGAAACACCACATCTATCTATTATGCATCGGCTGAGGAAGACATTAGCTGCCGCGCCACAGGAGACCTCTTATTTATTCATTTGTATTCCAAAGTGAAGGCTAAATGGCTGCTGGAGGCCAAAGGTGGAAACATACGGTGCATGAAAGAGTAGAGCAGAAGTCGACATTAAAGCTAATGCGAAACGAAAGTGTCATAAATAAACAGCCTCCACCAGGTTTATGCAGAAGTTTGCCCCACAGGTTTTAAAGCTTGATGGGCACATCATGAAACCTCATGTAGCAGCTGATGATGTGCATCGGCTGCTGCACATCATTCACGCAGCAGGCAGTGTGGACTCTGCCCCTGCTCCGTGCCACAGTCAGATGCATTTGGTAGATTGGAATGGGATTATGTCCAGACCGCTACAGACACATTTGGATTCTGAACCTACAGTAATTCACTGGGACAATCAAAGTGTTATTGGCAAATTGTGTGGACATGGTGTAACTCTGGTGGAGGAGGAGTCTGTTCTGTTCTGTTCTGTTCTATTCCCTTATTTTGCTCAGAGAGGACAATGTCCCTATAACAATAGTAATAATAATGATAACTTCTTGTTGTTGTTGTTGTTGTGTTAGAGTGATTACAATGCATAGCACAGTTTTTCCACTTCCATAATAGTTGGTACACTTCCATAATTAAACCTAGTGTACTGATACTGGGCCGTCCTTCATTTGACAGACCAAAGGACGAGAATATGTTTGGGTTTAAAGACATAAAAGACAGAAGCTATCACCAAATGCTCCACCCTTGTGGAAAAAAGCAGCATGACTCATTTCTCCTGATAAACTTAGCGAGACAATTTTCCGTCCATATTAAAAACCAACAGCCTTTTAGGGAGTTTTCACGTTGCAGCATTAATTGTCCAATCTATACTGGTTATAGTGTTTGTCTCTATACTGTATGTCTACTGAACCATTTACTGTACAAGATAGCAAGAATTCGGCAATCTGCAGAATGTGCATAATGGACAAAGGTGGAAACCACTGCTGAATGTGTGGAAATCCCAGTTGCACAGAATTGGAAAACACAGAGCTGCTATGCAGGACGCGGCCACATTGTCTACTTTATCAGTCTGACTCTACGGTCCACTGCATCCCTGCCCCCCCTGAGGCTGAGGAGGAAGCTATACAATCAATTTTGTGTAGAGAAACCTATCGAGACCTCCAGGTCCAAGCTCACCTGAGGTGGACGAATGGACAACAGAAATGTATTCCCTGGTCGGATGGAGCCAGAGTTCAATTTGTTTTGGAGAAAATTGAAACTAAACCTCTGCGTGTCAAAAATAAAAATAAACATCCAGAGAAACAAGTTATAGAACCAGCGGCGGGCATGAGGGAACAAAGGTACCAGTGGCACCGGCATACTCTGAATCCTGTTCAAAAAGTTCATTTTGAGGATTGAACTGGGAACAGATTTGAGGCCAACAATCACAGGCTTCATTCAGTGCTAACTGCTAGCTATTAATTCGACCCTGACTGGTCTGCCTGCAGTCCAGATCTGACCAGTATACTGTATGGCAATATTCACTTTTTTAAATGTGGAATTAGAAGAAAAGACGTTTATCTTAAATTTATTGGAGTTTGAAAAAATTCAATGTTGAATAGTGATATGGTTAATCAAACAGTTGGATTACAAGTATAAATAATCATGTCTTATGATATTGAAGCCGAATAAAATACAACCCGACTCACAGCCTCACTCTTCTCCCATCCGAGCGTTAATAAATCTTTATTTCACTAAAATAAACTTGTGTTTTCTTCACAATCTGAGGAGACTTCCTGTCAGCGTGACTTACTGTCAGACTACCTAACCGAAAATACAAATGTAATAAAGAGCCAGCAAGTCTAGCACAGGGCCAAAGTTTTATTTATTCTAACCAGAGTCTGTGGAGAACACATCACAGCTGATCTCACCACAGATATTCTGAGTTTGAATACATTCTTTCCGGGACGTACGTTGCCTGGACAGCAGTGTGTGTGTGTTTGTATGTGTGTGTGTGTGTGTGTGTGTGTGTGTGAGTCCAGCAGATGAAGCAGCAGTGCTGTGTGTTTTCAGGCTCTCTGGAGGACTCAGACGACCAGGCCAAGCTCATAGTGGGTGTCGTGGCAGGGCTCCTGATCGCTGCAGCAGTGGTGGGACTCATCTACTGGCTCTACATGAAGAATTCAAGGTACAGAAACTCACAATTCAAACACACACCAGAGTGCACATTTGCATTTTTCCGTTCTTTTTTCACTGAACCTCTCAGGGGGAAATCAGGTTCTGTGTCCTGTACGGCGAATTTAGAATGAGGAGGCAGTAGTCGAGCTGGTCAAGGGCTGTAGCCGATGTACTTCCCTTTCAAAAAAGATTCAACACAAACTCCCATCTGCCTGGAAATGATGACACATGTCAGTGGAGTGATAAGCAGCAGCCGATCTGCTCTCAGGTGGTTTTCAGAGCACGTCGCACAGGGACAGGCAGTGCAAGTCCAGAGACGGCGGGAGCGTGACAAGTGTACAGCCAGCGCGCAGGCCCGCTGAGGGGCGGCCACCGTGCGCTGCCTGGAACGAGGTGAAAAAGTCGCTGTGCAGCAGAAGTGAATTAAAGTTTTTTTTTTCAATTTTGTATTCACCACAGACAAGGCAGCTGGAAGACTGGGGAGAAGGAGGTGGGCACATCTGAGGAGAGCAAGAAACTAGAGGAGAACAATCACACCGTTTAAAGTTTATCCGGGCTGCACTATGTGGGACCAAAGAGGTAAGAAGTGTCACATTAACACATGATGACAGACACACAGAACGGCCCCCAGGCCCGAGTTAGAGCTGGGTTCATACACCTGACAAGCCCATTCTCTGCAGCCTGGGCTGTAAAGGTGCTAATGAGAAAACAGTGGCTACAGGGAACGGTGTATTGTACCTGCTAATTACCGGAGCTTGAACATGTGAAGAGAGATGAATCAGAAGAACATCAGTATCGGCTGGTGTTCGCATCGTTAGCTTTCATCAGCCGTCAGGATGATGGTGAATTGTACATATATCAGGCTCTAATTAGTCACAAATATTGCAGCGTCCTTCAGCAGGGTCCACCTTCCTCTGACCTGAACCATTGTCATGGGAAACACGTGACTGACAGGCTTCTCAGCCACTTAGAGTGCATTCAGGCTAGAGGCGTTGTACCACGGCTAGTGTGAGTGCGCCCTGAATGGAAGAGGTGGGCCGGAGCGCAGACACACATGCGCAGTTAAATACGTCTCATGAAGCCTCCAGAAAAATCAATTGTATGCGTGCGGCACAATTGACTGCGAATCACCGTCTCACACAGTCAGTAAATCAGGACATTGAAACGGGCCGGGCTTTAGCTCGCTCACCTATGGTGTAATGTGACTGTGGGAGACAGATTTGGTTCTTGTCTTCAGGACTTTTTTAGCTTATTTTATGTTTCTTATGTTTCCAATAGTACTGGTGTGAAACTCATGTATTTTGAATAAAAATGTCTTCATATAGAGGATTTATTGATTTTATAATAGTAAAAAAAATGTATAATGTTAAAACAATATAAAATGCTATACTGTAAGTTTAAAAAATGATAAAAGATAAATAAGTGAAATTACTGAATAAAATACATTTAAAATACATGTAAAGTAAAATAATATATTATGACTAATTTTACTGATACAATAAATATAAATGAATTAAAATATAAATGAATTAAAAAAAAATTTTAATTTTAATTCTGTTCATATATATATATATTATCAACAATTTGTTTATTAATTGCTATTTTTAATTTCAAAGGCGCATTAAAAATGGGTTTAAACTAAATGAATATATGTTTTTTACAGTTAAACAATGATATCATAGATTAACACTAACACTATTATGATCTTAAATGTATGAATGTAACCAAGCCAAGATTGAAACAGCCTGAATTTATCCTGAGTTTGACTTACATCAGTGCTGATGCAGATTTATCTTGGGGTTATTCAAATATTAAACACCATCATGATCAGGATTCATAACCTTCTTCTGTCATCTGCGGGGGTTCAAATACATAACGATGTCACGTCCCCAGCTGCCGGTGCCACCGTCAGTGTCAGCAAACAGAGAGCTGCTGTCACCGGTGGCTGCAGTAAAAAAACAGAAGATACAAATAGTTTCCTGCGTTGTTGTCCCTGTGATGTCAACGTGTTCTCAGATTATTACTTTAACCAATACGACGAGACAAAACAGCAGCTTAGTTACAATAAGACGCAATGAACTTTCTGCTGAAAACAGGTTGCCAGGTTTTAAATGTCATGATGACATGTCAATAATACTCCTTTTGTCTATTTCTCTGCGTGTCTCTGGGGAAGGAGCTGCCGAGAGCCGTCTGGCGACATCAAACTTCCGTCGTTGGCGGCCGACGTGCTTCACCCGGCTCCACATGCGCAGCAACAGTCCGAGTGGTTTCCCACCACATCCTGCTCAGAGCCTGCTGTCCCATCTCGCTGTTCGACGTCCATGTTGAAGCTGCCTCGTGTTACTGTGTTCTTCTGTTCCTCCGTGTTCCTGGTGAATGCTCCCTCTCTTCTGTTTGAGCGTTTCTGTCAGGCGGTGTGTGGTGGGCTTTGTTTTCTTTTTGTTTTTTGCCACTTAATTTGACAGCTTTTTTCCCCACTCTTTCTGTTGTGTTTTCTTCCTCTTCAAAGAATGTAAATTCCCTGTACACTTTTTAAGGCCTGTATAACGATAAAACATGAAATACATATGTGTGTGCCCTGGCTGAGCATGCCAATGTTTATTTTTAGTTTCTTCTCCTTTCTTTGGGATTCTTTTTCTTCCGTTTGCGCTGTGTGTGGAAAAGCCTGTGGCTGTGCTGAGAAAAGACACTTCACTGCTGTTCAGGACATCCCTGTGAAACGGTCCATAAACTTTTCAGAAAATAAACCTCAGCATCTCTCCGCCTCCTGACCATCGTCCACCGAGTTGGAAACACTGGAATCTTTGTATTTAAGTCCACACTTTATGTCACCGTCATCAAGTATTTCCACGTTCACGCGTAACTACAACCATAGAATACAGAGCGAAGGATTAGTGTAGACGTTGAGTGGACGTCAGCCGGTGGAGCAGTGTGTCACACCCAGCCACACATAATGTTTTTGTAAGCGGCGGTAATTTTCTCGTCTTCAGCTCTTTTCACTTTCTCTTAGTCTCCAGAGAGACTTTCTAATTCCCCCCCTTGTTGTGAAGAATTTTCTTTGTAATGGCTAAAAGGAACAAAAAGGCAATAAGTCATCAGAAAAGTGCAACTTTGGAGAAATGTTAAAGTTGTGTTTTTTGGCCGCTTGTGTTCTCCTGTGGTTCTGTTGTCTCTGCCTGTGTGACCTACGCTCACTATACCTTCATGTCCAGGCTGACACTACAAGTTTTTACTGTTTTTATTTCTCACATTCTTAAAGAGCTTTACCGAGGTCTGAATGTTTTGGGTTTTTTTGTTTTTGTTTTTTTGTGTTCACGGTGTATTTATATTCTGCATGTAACCTACCTGGATGGTTCTGCACAAAGATGTGTTTGTGTTTTTAATTTTAATTTTTTTTTTTTTTGGAAGTGGTGCCTGGCTGCTGCGTCGTACATAGGAGAGTGATTTAAGCGTGACTTAGCACGATGAGCGACTTGGCTCACTGTCTGCTGTAATGTTGTCATAATACTTTTTTTGTTTGTCTGTTTGTTTGGTTTTCGTGGCTCAGTGGTTTGAAGGATAGCTCAAATTGAAGACGGTAGTTGCAACAGAGGTGCTTAAAGATGACAGCTCCCTGAGTTCACGTGGTTCCGCCACGGTCCGTGATGCAGCATCACAACATGCAGGTGACCAAAGAAACAGTTGACAAGATCAACTCAGAGGAATCTTAGCAAACTTAATTCATGTTAATAGTCTGTTCAGTTAACTTCATTTAAATGCACTTGATGCATATTGATGCAAATTATTCATCATCTTTAATTCATTTAATCACTTAAAAATAAAAAAAATAACCATCTGGCTCCAGCCCTCTTTGGTTAACAAAGTTAGCAGAGACACAACACCGATCTGATGGTCAAGCTCCAAACTGAAACGAAAAGGTGACGTTCCATTCGCTCTATTTTTAGAGTACTTGGCAGAACTGGCGGCTAATGTAGCAAAGCTCACAGCTCAGCATCGTGGTGAGGGGCTGCCATTTTTAAGCACCTGTTCAATGGTTTGTAGTTTTGTTTTGTTTTTGTTTTTTTGTCTTCATGCCTTTTGTTTGTTGTTAAATGATCAGGTCAGCAGTGAAACCAAAGAGGGTAAAGATGAGAAGGCCATAGCAGTGTTGTAAATACACACTTTTGTTTTTTGTACTGTTGTTGACAATAAAGTGTACATTTTGAAAAAAATAATTGCAATCTACTTCTAATGTCTACATTTCCAACCCGGAAGTTTCACTGAACACTGTTTGACCTTTGACCTCTGAGGTGGTTTCAGGAACTCTCCAAAAATTTTAGAATGTTTTTTCTTAGGAAAAAACGTTGAATTTATTCTCCATTCTAATCAAATGATTATTACTGCAGTGTTGGAGCGGAGCATGACAGAGAAATCCATTAGTGAATTTTAAACATGTTTAACAAACCCGTTAGGTGTTTAAAACTGATTTAATGAACCACAGATTTCACTAAAATTGGTGAGGTGTATTGAAGTAGGAAATGTCGGCAGGTCCACAGACCAGCACGATAATCCACAGTTAAGAACAGAATTCTTAGCTGCCTTAAGAAAATGAAAAATAAAAACAAAATTAAATTATTTCACAGAACACAGCAAACACCAAAGTTCAAACATGAGCCTCTTGATCTTTAAAGTCAATGATTTTCTTTAATTTTTTTTTTCTTCTCAGGTCTAACATCTTTCATTCATCCTTTTTCTTCAAAGCTCCTTAAGAGCTGAAGGTCTCCTGGCACTGACTTTCAATTATCTGAAGATTTTTTTCATTTTTTTTCTGTTTTTTAAGATTTTGTGCAGGCCGTTCACTTTGATCTGGAGATTTGAACAAGTCTAAAGTAATCACAACGGAGACTTAGTTTTACTTCTCATTATTTCAGTTTAAAAAAAAAAAAAGCTTTTTTAAAAGTTATTAATCCCAGGGTAGCTGTGAATTAATCCAAACTAATTGTGACTAGTTGTTTCAGTCAGCTTGTCAGCAGTAGACTTATTGTCTGGACAGACATTTCCATTTCCTCTAGTTTAAGACCAAAAGTTGTAAAAAAAAAATCCATCATTATTTTCACTAACTAATGAACACTTTTAACTTGGTCATTTTGACAGCCCTAATTTTCAGCACATTTCTTTATCTTCTGTTTATTCTATTGGTGGACAACATAAGGGGCCCCTTAACGATGACGCACATGTGTTTTGGGCTTTGCAATAACGACGGAAAAAAAAAGAAATTGAAATTCAGAACTTTGCAGTGATGATGTTGTACCTGAGAGGGAACGACACACGAACCTCCACCAGTCTGGATGTGTGTGTTTCCCTTTGATGGAGAATCCAGGGAATTATCTGTGTGTGTGTGAAAAGCTGACTTTTCCTAAAAGCCTGGATTAGAGTTTCTAAAAATAAAGTGTCTGATATCAGACTGAAACCTGAATATTTTATGACCTGCCTCCACAGCATGGGTTTACACAGTAGACGCCGCTCCACTGTGAATGTGATTGGTCACAGTGTGCGATTGATCGTCCAATAAGGAGCCTTGCCACGTTAACCAAAGATGTGATGTAACTGGTATTAAAACCATTCGGCTAGAATTAGATATGTTCAGTTACAACATTATTAAGAGGTTAAGAATAATTACTGTCTACGGTCTTTTCTCGTCTACGAATATATATATATATACTGTATATATATATATATATATATATATATATATACAGTATATATTCTGTCCATTTATTGTCAGCTCTAACCAGAACAACAAGTGTCACTGCAGCAGCATCGTTCCGGTGTTTCACACGGTGACATAACATCTTCTGCTGCTAATTAGCAGTTACACTGCTGCGTGTGATGACAATGGGATTTGTTTGTACCGGATTCGGGGCCAAGCCAGCCACGGGAGACGTGAGGGGTGGGAGGACAATTGAAACCTGTGTGGGAGGATAGAATGACATCACCGTAGTCTCAGCTTCCTGCCGGTTCAGAGACTCGCTGATTTCTCCAGGGAATGTGGTGTTTAAGCCCCTGAATCCTTTTCATGTAATTTTATGATTCAATGTAAAAATATTGTCGTAGGAACTCAGCAGGCACGGGAGGCACTTATTAAGATTACACAGTCTCCGGATGGTTTTGGTCGTCGGCGTGTGGGTAAAAATATTTCTGCACCTTTTTGATTTTGGGGGTTTTAAAAAACACAACTCGCTGTGAAAGACATTTTTTTCCTTTGGTGAAGAATGTGTTGTGGAACAAACGCTTGAATAAATAAATCATGCCACTGTGTTAATTCAGGGAATCTAATACTGGTCTTGCTAGAGCCTGGTGGTAGATGGATGTATTTCTAGGAATTGTTCTTTCATGTCGTTCTGTGTTGTTTCTCCTCCAAAGTGAGACGTATCACCCGAATCCACCCAAGACACCAAACTTAGGGGGCACCAGAGAGGCAAAAATAAATAATTCAGGCTGCCAGCAAATCTGTGCAGTGTGGCGCTGATGTAGCAAAATACATTATCATTCTGGGGTTTGAACTTACACTGTCACACACATATACACACAGTGATTATACACATACATGACTGCACAGTACAGTCTGTTTATCCATCTATGAAACACTAAACCATACAAACTTCAGAATCACTTCTTTGTCCATTCATGCCATTTTAGATTTATTTCCCAAAGAAACTATTTTAATGGTTGCGGAAGAAAATAAAAAAATCCAGTGGCATGTTCACCATCAGTCACATTCCTTTTCCTTATTGTCGGCACATGCACTTTACCTTGTGTTTTTTCTGCCAAAGTAAAGACTAAGGCGTGGCCTTCATTGGCCCAGAGCTTCTTTTTTCTTATCTATATCTTTCAGCCTCTCTTAGATCCTTTCTCTGCCAGAGAACTCGACGGCCTCTCAGCACATAATTGATGTATGGCTTCCTCTCAGCATTTTTGGCTGCAGCAGCCAACTGTGTTCAGAGACAATGATTTCCTCAAATAGTCCTGAGCCTGTGTTGTTACCGTACGTCCGTCACAGTAGCGGGGCGGTCCTTAAATAACAGCTGTTGTAGTGAATGCATAGAAGCACCGTGGGCCAATATTTTTAAAGGTTGTTTTGATCAAATTCTAAAATGACTGGTTTACAACTCCATCCATCCATCATAAATACAAACGTCCTCAGACTCACGCACCAACTTATCCATGCCTTCCTTCCTTCCTTCCTTAACAAATAAAAGTGGCAAATGTTTTTTTTAAAACCCCCCCCCCCCCCCCCCACTGTTAAATACATAAAACAACTGCTCACGGCAACTCAACAGGAATGGTTTTCCAATAATTCTATAGAATGCGTGACCAGGTGGGCAGAGCCTTTCAAATCATGCCTTTTTGTCATCTGTCATAGAACATGTGTGTCTGTCCACACTGATCTGGTGTGGGTGAGGCCCAGTACAGAGTGGGGGGTTATGGATACCGCTGGTGATTCTACTCTTCCAGCGTTGGACCTGTGAGACGGAGGTGATATAGATCTACCCTGTGCATTTACGCTGTTTGCAGTATGAGATTCAGATTTATTGCTTCAGGATGTCACTTAATACCTACCTACGCTGTACAAATCAGCGATGTGCTCGTCTGGCGGTGCTCGTCTGATCTGTTGCTTTCATTCACTGCCCTATAAACCAGCTTTCAAATTTCTACAGCTCGCAGTTTTTCTTTGAATTTCTCCTCGCATCTCGCCATCTGATAACCTTCAAAGAAAATGGAATAACCCGTGAAGGGCTGGTCAATGATGCTGTGCTGCCTTTTGATACGTGAATTTATAACATATTGACACAATCGTGTTCCGTGCACATCCTGCTTTTACATCAACTTCGACACAGACAGGCCTAGCTCCCGTTAAAAAAACATGACGACCGTCATTTCACCCCTCTGGGTTGAATCGAAAACCCAACCTCATCCGATCCACTCCTGTGGCTGCAGAGGACACAGGGAATCAAGGAGCAGCTGAATTTGACCCACTGTTGGTGAAGACAACAAACAGTTTTAGCTGCCAATTCAATTAGCTGTTCCAAAGAAGCTACGATATAAATAGGAATTTGAAGCGTGGGTCACATGGTGGCAGGATGGGTAGTGCCTCTGCCTTACAGTTAGAAGATGCTGGTTGAATCCCTGGTGGTAACCACACACACTCAGAGACAGATACGTAAATGAAACCATATGTTTGTGGCATTTTATTAACTTGTTCATGAAAATGAAAATAATAATAATAATAAGAAAGTATAATTTAATTGCATTTAAGTCTACGTTTTACATATAACACACCTTTGTCACTAGAGCACATGGCTGTGAATATGATTCAGAAAAACAAACAAAACAAAAAAACTGCCCATGTTCATTTCTACCTAAGGCCACTTTACCACTGCTGACAGAGTCCATTGAAATGGACAACTCTGACCTCAGTCATTCAAGTTTGACGAAAAGCAAAAAAAGAAAACTGACGGATCAGTGCAACCATTCAGACTTGTTTTAAAGGGAAAGATAGCATCTGATCCTTGCATCTGTCCCTACGTCTACACGTGTGGACTGAATCTACTGGAAATGAACCGGAAAACTCCAAGCAGTGTGGCAGAACAGTTTGTGACGAGCAGAGGCGCTCCCTCCGCCTCAGTACAATAGCACCATCACAATGTAGAAACACGCTGACGTCGAAATGTAAAGTCCACAGTTTTCATCTCCTCACAGAAGGGTTTAAAGCAGCTTAGCCGTCGACTCAGCATTATTTAAGTGCTCGCTTCTTACGTTAACGTGTGTGTAATTCGTTCAGCCGATGTACTCTACTGACGTCTGCGGTGAAGACACTCAGGCCTGGACTTTTCTTCTCGTCTTAATGTTAAACACGGCATTTGCTCATGAACACGGGCCATCACGCACCACAGTATGAACATATGTACATGTTAGACTGCAGGTCTGCTTTAAAGTGCTGCTCAGAAAAAAAACAATGATCCTCACATAAAGTAAAAGCATCGACGATGTGAAGGTACAGCCATGTTTCTCTCTGTCGATGACCACATCAGCAAAATAATGAACACAACACAACTATAAAGGCTTTTGTAGTTGAAAGATAAAAGCACAATCAGTGACGGTGATTTGGCCTCCGCCACACAGCAGTGTCACACAAACGTCTACATGCACACAGCAAACCTTCAGCGTTATGTAAAGGTAAATGCAGAAACGGCGGTGAGTAGAACGCTGGGATGCTGCACTTATACACACACATGAACACACACACGCAGGTAAACAGAGCTTTGATGTTTGATTTTTCACACTCGCACATTATGCAAAGAAAAAAAGAAGAAAAAAAGAGGAGAGAGTCAGCGAGGTGTATTATTAGACCTGTGATCATCTCCACTTCCTGCTGTACTATCAAGATGTCCCAAATGAACCTTTTCATTTCCGTCTCCACAGCCAGACAGTCTAATATTTGACCAGCAGCTCTGTGATCATGGTGAGGAGGAGGCTCGAACATATGGGAGCATAATCAATCAACAGTTTAGACCCTACTCTGAGGGAAATGACGATTCATTTTCCATATTTATTTTGATAGCTGTGACGATGTCTCTGGAAAAAGTGAGGACGCGCAGGTGAGGTTTGGGCAAACGCTGCACATTGTTTTCTATGCGATGATTCACTTCCTCTGTGAATGAATTTTTGACCGAGTCTCTGCACAAGAGTGAAGACAGACTGCAGCTCTGACTTCCTTTTCTTTTGCTTTTAAATAAGAAAATACGGAGGCGCAGAGATGGTGCACAGCCTCCGACTCAGTTGGCTGTATGTCATATATCATTATTTAAAAAAACCAAAACCCACCCCTACAGCAGTCCCTTATACACAGCAGTTGGAGTGATATACCCAAAGTGAGAACTGTCTTTGTTTTGTTCTCAAATAGGAAACTGTGAAACATGAACTTCTCGCTGTGACATACATTTTTCTAACACTGTGGGAGGACATAGCTAAAATCTACTGTATCATATATTCACCACACTAGGTTTAATGACAACAGAAGGGACCTTGGGGCTTTGGTGACATTTTAGATCTTAGATAAAAAGGGAATTCTGGAAAATTAAACACAATGATTTATGTTTTTTACTATTTTTCTAAGACCTGCCTTTTATATCTTTTACCAGCTTTAAGTGTCTGTCGATAGAACAACTGATGATCCAGTTGGATGGGTAGATGGTAAGGAGGAAGCTAATAGTCTATTAGGAGTGTGGTTGAAGACCGTCCAGCTGCAATCATCACTCATGTGCACAGTATATGTTTTTCTCTAAACTACGTCTTAATACCCACGTCACATTTTATTACTTTTTTTTAACTCAATGAAAAGTTGCCAGTTTTCGCCACAGACCACCTTCTTCGAAAGTTTGCTGATGGTTTAGTCCACTTTTTTATATACAGTCTAGGGTTTTGACACATCTTGAAATAAAACAAACTGTGCTCAAATCCCCAGAGTGTCAGTGCTGCAGAAGCCGAGCACACAGATGCTCAGTGAAAACACATCTGCCAGCTGAGACACCGACTGAAGTCACGTTACAGAAGTCTGAATAAATACAACCATCGCAGCTCGGAGCTATGGCACTAAAGTACACCTAATTAAAACACACTTAATAAAGTCAAAACTATTTATTGAACACACTCCCACTTCAGAAAGCCTCTAATTGATCTCATGAGTTCAAGCCATCAAGGGGTGTTGTTTTTTTCCCCTTTTTTTAAAGGTTAAATTGACAAGTGAACTAAAAACCAAATTTAAGGAGATAAGAGAAACCCTGGAGGATCCTGTGGATCACGAGGTTGATTAGATTGTCCACTAATCAGAAGGTCGATGGTTTGATACCGTGCTCCAAGCAGTATTGACACAATACTAATGCGCCTGACTTACTGAGTGCTTCTGACAGCTGCGCTGTGTCTTTACGGGATCTATGAGTGACAGACAGAAAGTACTGCATGAATATCTCTCTCTCTCTCTCTCTCTCTCTCTCTCTCTCTGTGTGTGTGTGTGTGTGTGTGTGTGTGTCTATAAAGTTCCTCCAGTGCAGCCCATTCACCATTATGCATGTCTGTTGTATAAGTGAAGGCATCTTCGTTAAGGTGGGCTGAGAGGCTGCTCTGCTCTGCTGTCTTCTGTTCACCTCTGCTGACTTGACATAAGTATTTTGCATGAATAAGAATGCAGAAATGTTGCAGTGCAGCGTGACTGAGTGATAGAGTGACGGAGTGACTGGGTGGACAAGTAAGCGAGTGAGTGACTTTGAGAGTGAGTAAGTGGGCGAGTTACTGAGTGAGTCCTCAAACATCTGGGAACACTGTGGCTGTTCTCACCAGCTGATGGCCGTGCGACCGAAGCAGACTGAAACAGCTGAGGCTGCCGGGAAGGACCGAGTCAAAGCTGAAACCACAGCAACCAGCTCTCCGTCAACTGAAATGCTTGATTTGAAAAATGCAGGCACTGTCGTTTTTGGCAAGAAGAAAACGTGGAGGAATTAAACACTGCACAAACACTTAACTATTTTAACTACTTAAACACTGTAGGGTAGAGTGGAGCCTGAGAGGAGCTCAGAGTGTTCAAAGGTATACAGCTCACTCATGCAGAACAAATACATTCATGGGCTCGGCGTCCCCAGTGAAGAATGTAATTAAAAAAGGCCTCCAAAGATTCATCCTCTGGTCTGTGACCTGAAACAAAGAGTGATAGCTAAAAACCCATCACAATTTTGGCTTCGCACTCGGTGTCAAAGTAAGATACCAAGCCTTAACAGGGGAGCTCCTCAGGAGCTGTCGTGCAGTTTTCTCAAGGTCTGCGGGAAATAAGGAAATCAATAAGGCATCGTCTGGCTCTGTCTTAACCTCTCCCACCTCAACAAACCCTGTTAAGACCTGGGAGTTAAGAGTCAGCCAGACTCTGTGCTAAAGTGAAGAACTCTCTAATGGGCAACACAACAGAAAAAAAAAAAAGGAAGAGGAGGCCAGGGAAAAGTTACACCATGGCTCCCTCCACTGGTGTTAAGTGAGAATGACCTCATAAGTTTGAAGGCTGACATGAAGTGAAACTGTCCTGTTCTCTAAAATGTATTACAAAAATGTTGGGTGGTAGAAAATGAAAAAGAACAGAAGCAGTAGCGGCAGCACCAGAGTTTAACACTTCTTTGTTGTCACTCACTTCAGTTCATTTCTCAACTATTAGTTACATTAGCAAAACACCTGTCAGTATATGAACCACCTGCATTAAAACCTGAAAGGTTCATTAGTTGAAATGACCGCTGCAGTTCAGATCTTAATCAAAATATAAATCTGATAAACAACTTGTTTAACTTTGACTACTTATGACCTAACTCATGGCTTCTGAGTCAAAATAAGTTGCTGGCGATATCAGAAACTAATAATTTAAAAACAAGCAGGAGACTTTGTAAAATAAGTGCATTTGTGTGAAGATGACTCACACAATCAACTGTAACAGCGCCAAACTGTGGTGCTAATTTGTCCCTACACATGCCCCAAAATGTTATGACAACTGATAAGCAACATAGCATCCCTATGTTTCCTTCTCACTGAGAGAACAAAGGCTGTATTTTCATGTTACCTAGCACTAGTATTGTTATTTTGAGCATTTTAAATCCATTCTTAGTGCTTTGAGCTTTGACAGGAGGAAAGCTCCGTCAACATTGAACCAATTACTGTTATTTTCTTTCCAAGTGTGATCTGATAAATGTAAATAAGTGTAAGTGAGAAAACATAAAAGCTCATTTACAGGAGCATCTGACAACAGATAGTGACAACACTAAGATTGCTGTAAACAAGAACATGAAGATAAAGAAGAAGAAGAAGAAGAAGAAGAAGGAGAAGCCTGGTTTGTTCGTTCACAGATTTAAATTATTCACAGAAACAGTCTTTCTACCCTTTTCCTCCCACGTGGTCTGCTGTGATTTGGTTTCAGCCAATTTGTTGTGCATCGTCATCTCTGTTGGCAACAAAAGGCAAGTCATCCTTTAAATCTTTGTGTGTTCACGTCGATGATTGTTTATTTCCAAAATGATCTGAGGCCAAGCAGAATTAAAGAAGCCCTTTTTGAAGAGTCCACTCGGAGGAACAGCATCACTCTAGAGGTTCAGTCTGGGGGCCACCAAGGCAAACTCTCTCAGGATGTTTCTGGCCACATCCACTTTGTACTGAGCAATTATCAGCGCCCGCTTCACATCTTCAAATGAATAGCCCTCCCCCATTAGCTTGGCGATTTTGGCATCCACAGTGTCACACTCGATACTGTGGTGTTTTCCCAGCTGGATGTCTGGCGGAATCTTCCGGGGCAGTGGCTTCGGCGGCCGGGCGGGCGCCTGCAAACAGTCCATTGAAACTAATAAGAAAAGAAAAGGGATATTGTCAGTGCAAAAATGCCTGTGAGAAAAGCTGTAATCAGAAGATTTTTTTTTGTTTCTTTTGAGATGAACAAGTAAAAGTTTGCAGAGCAATTAAACTGCTGCTTGTCTGAGAACTAAAGCTTTCAGGTTTTCAATGACCTCCAGACTTTAGATTTTTAGTAAAAATGTTTTCAGCAGCAGTTCTGAGCAGTCTGCTTCACGATAAATAGGGCCCAGTTCTTGTGAGCCATTTTTAGATACTGAAGTCACAATTGCTGAGAATTGAATAAATCCCAAGCTCATTGTTTAGGATTTATAAAGAAAGCTGGTGAATGTTTGATACAAGCTTTTGGGACTGTTAGTAAGAATCGGACAGAACCATCCGTGGCCATCACTGAAACAAAAGACCAATATTATTCAACTACTTTCAAGGCAGGCTTTTTTGTTGGTTTCTTAAAAAAAAAAAAAAAAAACATTTTAAAAAAAACATGCTGATATGAAAACAAAATAAAAGGCATTATAGAAATTAGGCTGGGTGATTTATATTTTCAGGAATAATATTCAAAACGCTGTTTTGCAATTTATGTAATTTACATTATCTTTATTTATACTACATGGAAAAGAAAAGAAACGGAAGTCACTTATATGGCAGAGAAATTATAGGAGTCCTTATTCGCTTAGGTTCGAGCCTCATAAACTAATCAGGAGTCAAGATTTAGTCACATGACGATGACACGGCGGCCACCGAGGAAGTCTGGCTTGGATAAATCATGGAGGAATCACAGGCATCTGTAACGACTTCAGCAAATGTTTTATTGGCAACACGGGGAAGGTGAGCAAATACTTTTGGCAATGAAGTGTACGTTTGTGCGCAATGTTTGAGTACTTGGTCAACAATATAAAGAAATGATCATGTGTCCATGCTGTGTAATTTAACTCAAGAGAACCTGCATTGGGAGTCTCTTGAACGCCCAGGTTAATCCTGGTATCCAAGAAATGTGTTATAACAGCATTTCAAAAACATTTGTTTTTGCCCATATAGTCCATCCCACGAAGGGAAACAACAAATGTGACTCCAGATACCTACATACAGGATTGGGTGAATTGTTCCCTCTAAATTGACCACAGCAGATGAATGTAAGTAAGAGGGGCCTCACAACCTCAAAAATGATAAAAATAAGTCAATTATTAATTATAAATTATACAAAAACTCAACAAAACACACTTACATCTAAAACTTAAAACACGTTTGAGACTTTTTTTAGGAAATTCTTTCTTTACAGACACTGTCTTCAATATTACCTCTAACCACTTATTGTACTACTGATACACTGTATATACATACAATGTTATTTGTTCACACTGCAGAAAAACCAAGTCAGAGTCAGATGTCAGACCAGCCTCACCAAGTGCAGGCCAGTTTGTAAGTCTACGGCTGACTCACACAATTACCAAATGAATGCCAAAAACTGAGCCATTCATCCAAATGACTGAGACTGAGTAGTACTGTTGTTGACAAAGGCTTCATGTTGAGAGCTGCTTTTAAAAAGCAACTATCTGCATGTTCTACAACTCAATGAAGCTAACGTTGAGTTCAGCTTTTAATATTTTTCGTGACATTTTTCCATATTAGTGAATGCATCATTTGGATCAGTCAAACTAAAACACATGCATCTTCCTGCAGTTATTTGTCTTTCTGATCCAGCACAACTTTTGTCATGTTATGGAATGTTGATTCAACTCATTAATCATGATCAATCATGATCAATCTCAATTATTATGATCGTGACAAGACATGATTGATTATCATTAACCAACAGCTACCTGGCATTTGATCTGATTAAAAATGCACTCGTTTGATAGCTGTATTACAAACGTCATAAACCAGTTGAGAATGATCCAGAATTATAATGTCTCCACTGCACCGTCCAAACATGGAAAATTCAACCTGTAATCAAGCCAGAAATTCCAGAGAGACTTTTGTTCAGAACAGTTGCAGACAGTTTCCAGACTTTAGTGCAGGTCTGACATCAGCTGTAGAATAAAAACTAGTGAGACAAAAACACAGTTGAGGTGCTTTGAAATTCAAAAATGGTTTTCCATGTCTTCACAAATCAACTCCAATAGTCATCAGGAACAAGGCTGTTTGGCGCTTCCTGTTTGTGCTGTTCATATTAATGAGACTCTCACAGGATAAGAGTACCGAACAAATTCCTTGACTTGATCCAGACTGAGTCCTACGAGACCAGATTCTGAAATTTTCTTTTTTTATTCTCTAAGTGAAAAATGTGAAATAATTGAGTTCTAAACATACTGAGCTTAAGATGTCATAATTTTACAGCAGCCCTGTGTTTCCAGTGAAGGTCTCAGTTCCTTCCTGTTGTCATTCCCAGAACAATTACCTGGTAAATGGTCGTACTCCAAACGGCAGCTTCTGGAGCTTTTCACATTTTCTGTGGGTCGTCTGACTGGAGGCAGAGGAGCGGCGCTGTTCAGCATGTCAAACACCGTGTCTAGACCAAAGATGACACGGACAATGTCAGGTAAACAACACCGTCACTCAACAAACTCAGGCTGTAAATTAAACATCTGGTCACTTTTTTCCAGCACGTATGATTTATAACAGTGTAAGGACAACCAGCACAGACGATACACAACTACTGTCTTTCACTATAAACCAAAGACAGGTTTAGCTGCTCACCGGGGGTTAGGAGCAAGTGCTCGTGTCCGGACGAGGGTCTGTGAGGTCGCGTGATGACAGAGGAGGAGGACGAGTTGGAGGTGTTGAGGGACGATGATGCAGATGAAGACGGGAAGTCTGTGAAGCTGTGTCGCAGTGGCGGGGGAGGCGGAGGTGGCTGAGATGGAGGGAGGTTGTTGAACAGATCTTCTGCTGCTAAAATGCAGAAGAGGAAACAGATGTGTTGGATTAGTCGGCCCTGTTTGAAACTAATTTCAGAATACAAAGAGAATAAAACACGCTGGATGTTCTTTACGAGGCCCAAGTGAGAGAGAGAGCGTGGACGACAACAGGAAGCAGTAATTAGGTCCAAATATATCACAGATGGGACACGATGAGTAGAATGAAAGCAAATATACTGACGTTGCATTTACTGCTTTAATCAGGAGAACATACTACGTTCACTTCAGCTCAAAAGCTTTTTGTCAAACTGTATTAACCCAACATGATGGGCTCTTTAAAATAAATAAACAGATGAATATGAATGGGCTGGTAAAAACAATTTCTATATCTTTGATCATATTTTTTAATATCAACTTAGTGATACAGAATAAAAAAATACCTTCTGTTACTGGATTAATTAAAGTTTGAAGTTAATGAAATTAATATTCATGTTTAAGAAATGAGAGACACAGACATCAAATATGTTTGCGATTCTATATTAATATGTTTCCTGTGGTGTTTTGACAAAGAGGAAAACATTATCAGGACAGATGTGCAGTGAAAACATAATAGCAGAGGGGGTGCATGGGGTTGTGTTCTGCCTGGGATCAGCTACCTTTAGGGGGCAGCAGAATGTCATAGTCAGAGGGTGACTGGTTGCTGCTGAACGGGCAGAGAGCAGTGTGTGCTGACCCTGGGATCAAACCCCTGTCCAATTCTGAGTGTCTGCCTGAGGAACACAAGCAGAGTTCAGTAGAGGGCAGCATGATGTGGCAACAGCACCCCCAGCAGGGCACACAACATAAGTACAGTTACATTTCAAAACTTTAATGACTCGGTCTGATGCACTTCTTATTAGACATTTCTATTCAACCAGAAACAAAAACAGTTAAGTTATTAACACAGACATAAAGACAGTGAGTCGATCGCCTCACTGACAGTGGAAGGCAAGACGTATCCGCTGTGCAATTTGTGAGATGTCATTATCTCTAATGGTGTTGGATTTACCAGGCTCAGGAGGGTGTGGTTTCTTCTCCTCAGTTGAGGTTTCTGGTGAGCCGTTTTCTATATGCCTGGAAGAGACAGGGAGAGACAGACAGACAGGGAGATCGGGGCGGGGCAG